GATAATATCTTCAATTGAATTTATTCAGTTCCCATTTGCTCATAGGTCCTTAATTTTTTTTCATTAATGGTCCTTAAAAGTACTTAATTTCCTTGTGCAAAAATGTGTATGAACCCTGATACCACGTCTCTGTTTAAATCTATTCAGCCAACCGCTGCTGAAATTGCACAACTCCTCTATTTTTAAATCAGCATGAATCTGCTTCACCTTTTCTCTCAGGAATGGCCCTGAAATTGGTACCCTATCATTTTGCTGCTGCCGGAACCACTCGTACAAGACAGCATCGAGGTTTGTCAATTTCGCCTCATGCAAAGATTTCTGGTTTCGGATTCCCGTGTTAGAATCACAGTTGTTGTAAAATTTCAACAGTTTTTCTTTCTTTTTCCATATATCATACACAGTCCATGTCGCTATTCCATACGATTGTGCTATAATAGTAGAATCTTTGCAGAATCTCCATCTTTTGCAGAATTTCCACTTTTTGCATTACTGTCAATGCAACGTGTTTACGTTTTTCAACGTTGCAAGCAGTAAAATCATGAGTGCTTTTCTTATCTGTCTCTGTAGCAATTTTGCTTTTAAGCAAGAAGATGAGGACTTTGGCGAACACCGTTTCCTCCAGTCCGTCATTGTAATTAGACTGTCATTGTATTAAAAAGCGCTGAAATTAAAAATATTCTTAATTTATCCACAAAATATCCGGATAAAAAATGGCAGCACTAAACAATATCGTGAAATAACAAAGTTCAGAAAATACAACGATGTGAATCGTGAACTTGAAAGAAAAGTTGAGTGAATCGTCTGCTTTTTTACCTCGACGCAGATTTCAGGGAAAAACGCTTTTATCATGATGTCAATAATTTGCTATTTCCGTTATGACTCATTATTATTGGTAATTATGATGTCATTATTCGATAAGTATTTTTTCTTCAATATTTCGTACTCCATGTTCTGGTTTCCGGAACCTATAAACTCAATGTTTACGTTTTGAGAGGCAATGCGGATTTCAGGTCAGCGGATTTTCGGTATTGGACTGCAGTCCTTAAAAGTCCTCAATTTCCATGTGAAATGTGTATGAACCCTGCGGTAGACTTTTGAGTTTGCAATGGTGCGCTGAACAGCTGAGATGGACATCTGAATGTCATGACTTGTTTTTGGACGAATATACTTTTGCCTGCCATGATGGTTGGATTAGAATTTGGAAACACCGTTGAGAGAGGCTGTGTGGCTATTATGCATTGTCATACTGGTCCTGTACCTGACATTATGGTGTGGGGTAGTATTGGGTTCCACTCTCACACCCCATAGTGGTGTGTAGCAGTGGTTAGTGACAGAGGTTAATGCAACACTCATTACTGATTTTTCTCATTTTCTTCACCTCAATTAACACTGATACAGTACAAAGTCCGAAATCTGTATGTCCATTATCCGGAATGATCTAAAATCTGAATCTCTAAACCACCACCAACGTTTTCTCTTAGGCTTTATGCATGCACATTTGATTTCCCCCTCCGCAAATAATAAAACATCTGGAGACTTCCGATTCTTATTTTCAATTCGACACTAAATAAAATACCTTCTTATTGAAGATGCAATCATTTCAGCATAAATTTGTACAATCAGTAATTTGGCTCTGTTGCTGCGTATCTGCTTGGGATACATCTCAAACCAAAACATTCCACATAGATACATCATTGATCTAAGAACAACCTGGCGAATCATTATTTGTTATACTTTCCTTTCATCACTGCATGTTTATTAAAACATGACAACCTGACTATTGACTTATGTAGCGATACTTAAACATTTTTTTTTTTTTTTTTTTATGTTAGTAATTGAATAATAGAGGAGTGTGGTAACATTTTATGTCGACATTACGCTTGGCGATGATTGCAGATTTTAAGTTAAATGCGCTAAAAAGTGTTGACAGGCAAAAATTTACCAAAAATTTCTTTCCATATGCTATGCTAAAAATAGATTTTGTTGAAGATACTTATAGACCCAAAGATTACATTTAGGACTATTTAAATTAAGAATAACTGATTTGTTATTCACGTAAACCCAGAACCAGCGCCAAGGCTCGTATGGCCGCATCGAGTCTCGGAATTTAGGACCACAGAGACTGCTTCAGATGGTAAGATATCTAGTGCCTGCCCTCAATAAGGCTTAAGTATATGGTGGGAATTTATTTATTCAAAACTCTCATAAGCCTTAAGCATGTGCAAGAAATAGACATAAATATAATAAATAACTAAATGAATACAATTCAGGCTTAATTGTCTCAATGCACAATAGAAACCAGATAAAATTTAAAGGAACAACTTGTCGCCAAGCTCATAATGCATAGCCAAATATGTATAGTGAAGGATAGCTAAATTTGATGATGATAGCCGCTAATTTTAAAGGTTTTTGGATATTGCAAACAAAGGTGAAATTTTCCAATTAATAGATTTTGTAAAGAAATGTGGAGAAGTGGTAATAAATGATGATATAAAAGAAGTTTTTCATTGTGATGACAAAGCTTCTCAATCGTCAATCAATTAATGAATGGCAAAACCTGTAGTATGGTTCTAGATCCAAAAAATACAGCTACCGGAAATGAAGAAAGTGACAGAGAAGTTACTGAAAACGAGAAAATTTCGATTGGCAAGTTAGTCGAAATAGCAGCTACAGGACTTCAGTAGTTTAACTGAACAGGAGATTATGTCTGTCTACAGAATTTAAAAAAAAAAAAAAATTATTAGCACAAAAAAATGAAGCGACTTAAACAACTTACATTGAAAAAAATGTTTAATAAGGTAAACAAATAAATATTAAGCCTTTTTTTTCTTTTAATTTGATGCCCTTTATATCATAAATACTTCATTATTTCATAGATCACATTTTAATATTTTTAAAATTTTATAATTTCTACATGCCATCTTACTAGATTTAAACTGATGATTTAATATCCGGAAAAAATCCCAAATCTGGAATCGCCAGTGTCCTGATGAGTCTTGAATTTCGGACTTTGTACTGTACTATGTGTAATCTCTAAAATAAATTTGGCTTTGATATCTCGTTTTTCTTCATGTTGCATTTTAAATGGCCAGAGGTATATTGAGCACTTTAAGCCATTTAAGTTATATTTGTTATCTTTGTCACAATATGTATTTTTCATAATTTTCATATTAGCCAGAATTCTGGGTTTTTTACTTTCTTGAATACATAATTTCCAGATTTGTGAAATGTTCACACATTATTTTTCTAAAATTTTGTTTTAGATAAAATATATCATTGAGGGATTGCATGAAATAAAAATTTTTAGACTGTATAAACACTAAACACGTATGGACATTTGTACAGAAACTGAAAAAACTGACATTGTAAACTTTTAGCCTGAGAGAAGATAAGAAACAGAAATACTGAGTATTAACATAACTCGTTTAATCTATTTTAATTTGCTTCCGTGGACCTTTTGTTGAAATCTCATTTAATTATATGAGTGATATTGCGATAGGCATCCTTCAATATTGATAGATTGGCTGCAAAGATTTAAAAATATAATTCATTCTCATTACACAAGAATACATGCAAACCTTTTGGGGCAGAAAATCTCTCTAAAGACCCTATTGACAAATATTCTAGGGATAACTAATTGAATAACTGAACAGTTTGTGCCAAAATTCTTAGATCCCATGAACTAAAATATTTTTTCTACCCTTTCATTTCCAATAACTGCTGATATGGAAGCTAATATATAAGTGTAAAGTAATGGTCTGCATCAAAATATTTTTCCAATTATACTGAATTTTAAATGATTTGCAAAGAAAAATATAAATGCAGCCCCCAAACTGTAACCCCCCTCCGCAAAAAAGCAACCTGAACTTTGTGATTATTTGCAAAATAGTTGAGAAACCAAAATTTGCAGTAATGTTGAGAAAAAGGTCAACCAAAATTTGCAATAATGTTGAGAAAAAGGTCAACTGCATGAATTGATGTAGTAGAGCATAATTAATTTTAATAAATTATATATAAAACAGTATTTTTTGCTTTGCTAATAAAATTGTTTGAAAACATGTATGCATAATTGTACGTGTAAAACATTAATACAGTACAAAGTCTGTAATACGGACATCCATTATCTGGAATTATCTATAATCCGGACCTCAAAGCCACAAACGTTTTTTTGTATGCTTTATGCATGCACGTTTATTGTTTACGCATGAGCGTTTAGCACAAAAAACCAAGCAACTTAAACAACTTACATTGAAAGAAATGTTTAATAAAGTAAACAAATAAATATTAAGCCTTTTTTTTAAAATTTTTGATACCCTTTAGATCATAATTGCTCTTTATTTCATAAATTACGGTTTCATATTTTTAATTGTATAACTTCTGCATGCCATCTTACCAGATTTAAATTGATGATCTATAATCAGGAAAAACCCTTAATCTGGAATTGCTGAAGTCCTGACAAGTCCAGATTACGGACTTTGTACTGTATTCTGAATTGTTTGTAATTGTGGTGAGTTTTTATTCCATGGTAATTTTCAGGATTTCAGAAATGGGATTTCAATCTGATAATGCAAAAGTTTAAAAAAGCCAAAAACCATGCACTAAATCAAGATCATATTAGATAATCTTATGAATTTATGTCAAGTTTTCAGGCATTCTTCTGTTAATTTTAATCAGTAGCACTTCTTAAAGTTTACTAATCCCTCGTTTTCATAATTCTTTAAACTAAGTTTCATATGCTATGAAGTAAATACAACAAGAGATGAAACCTGAATGTTTTAATAGTTAAATTTTGCTGTATGAAATACTTTTGCAAAGATATTATTTTGATTGCTTAATCATTGTTTACAATAATAACATGCATTGGTAAGTCAAAATTTTGATAAATACGATTGTCAAATATTTTAAATTATGGATCTAAAGTGTAGTATTTAATTAAAAGATAAAAGGTTATTAAATAAAACATCAGTAAATTATAAATTTGATGTTTTATATTCTTCTAGGATGTATGTCTCTTGAAGAATTTCCTGAACACATTAAAGACTTACTACAATGCATGCAGGAGCAAGAGGAAAGAGAAAGGTTACAACGGGAATTGGATCGTTCAATGTGCAAAGTAAGTTTTACTGTAATACCCAGTTTCTAAATTTAAAGTCTAGTTATGTATTGGTAATATATATAGTGTTAGATACAGTCCAGCACAAAGAAATGAAAAATATACTCAGAAGCATTCATTTAATTATGATGAAAATATTTATTGCAATGCATGTAACTAAAATGAATCCCGTTGCAGTAGGATCTTTGATAACAGCATTATATGCCTAAGTGAAATGCTGTTTTGAATATGCTGTAATGTCATTTTTTGACCAGATTCAAGTGTTACTCCTAATAGCATACTGTACAGCGGTAAGCAAATACTTTGTTAACTATGGGCGAAAAAGATCTTTTAAGCAACATGCATGCGGGGCCATGGCAGGGTACAATGGTGTTTGTATGACAATATTTTGCGGCGTCCCTGTTGTTTGCCAGGATGCAATGATGAAAGGAAAACCCATCTCCCTAGCAAACATTTTTGAAAAAATTACAAATATGTCAAAAACAGCATTTTCTCTTATTGGCCATTAAATAATTGATGAATATACTGCTTATTTTTAAATAAAAATTTATGTGAAGTGAAATTTAGGATGCAGTCTTTTTATTTCAACAATAATACATACACACATATATGTATATAGTTGTTTAAATTCTAAATTCTAAATTGAAGCTGCTAGAAATGCATACACACATATATGTATATAGTTGTTTAATTTCTAAATTAAAACTGCTAGAAAATGGACTATATTCTTCAAGGAGATGCATGTGCTTCTAGCATATCTACCACTCTGAGCTTTGGTTGATTGCTACTGTAGTTATGCACTTACACATTGTGACAATAGATGTGGACAGACTCATGCGACTGATTTCAATTGTTTGCATACAAAATCAAGTAGGAAAGAGGTGGAAATATTGTTACACTGAAATCTAGAGCTTGCAAGATTAAGCAATTAGAAGGGTGTGCTTTTTTTACCACTTCTGATATTGCTGCATGCAATTCACAGAGAGTTTTCTGAGATATAACATGTCAACTGTATCAACTATGGAACAGTTTACTGGCCAGTTCTTTAGCATGTAAGGATGAGTGTAGACTTATTGTGTTATCTGACTAATCTTTTGCACCTGAGGAGAAGTTAGGTTATTATTGGCCTTACTATGACCAACATTAGATGAAGGGAAGTTTGGAAAAGCTGTTCCTTTTGTACTTGGGGATTTTTTCTTTTTTTGAAAAATCAGCTCAGGATGCTGTATTAAGAATGATAAAAGCTAGCTGCAGATTGTTTACAACAATCTTAATTGGCAAAAGTAGTATAGTGGGCTATATGCTATCACATTGTAAATTTTTTTTGTGTGTGTGCTGTATCTAGACTGTTGAATTCTTTTCATAATGTCCCGTGTGAACCATCATTCATCTGTGAGAACTGTGATTTGTATGCTAGAGATTTCTTGCATTAACACAGGCAGCATCTCTACAGTAGGAGCTAACAATGCTTTCTAATCATATGCCAGTGTGTCTTGTTCTGCAAACTGTCATGTAAGAATTCAAGTAGATATACAGTACAGGTACAGCATATGCCCATGGATGTTGGATATTATATGGATGGTTTGTATGCATTTAAGTGCTTTGTAAAAATATTTTTTTTTTTTTTCATTGATAATCTCTAGCAGGTATGTGTGATCTGATTTTGCCTTCCATCTCCAGTTAGCTCCAACATTACTAATGCCGTGTGATTCTAAATCAAGCTTCAGAATGCTTCACTTCAGAAAAACCCCACTTGTCTGCTTGTACTGGCACTTACGATTCATAGGGACTGGCAGTTTCAATTCATTGGCATAGTTCTCTTGCATGTGGGATTTATGCTCGTTATGTTATTTTCAATATGCAATGGCCATGCATTGTAATATGCCACAATTCAATGATTGATGAAATTTATTAATTATTTGCATTTTGAGTCTTCAGGTCTATGGAGTTTAGTCTAACTGGATTGGGAACCTTGTGTGCATCTTAGTTTGTCTAAAAATTTATTCAAAAATTTGAGGAATTTTTTCAAATATGTTTTTTAAAGGTTTTTTTTTTTTTTTTTTTTTTTTTTTTTTTTTTTTTTTGAGAGATATAAGAACAGCATTTTGTTTTTAGTTATATTTTTACATATTAGTTCCATTTTTGGAACGGTCAGTTTGCATTATTTAATTATTGAATGAATACCACTATTCATTTCTTGGTATTCTGATTTATTAGTACAGTCAAAAGTCGTTAATACGGGCTCGTCGGGACTTCGGCGATACCGGATTATCGATTTTTCCGGATTATAGATCATCAGTTTAAATCTCGTAAGATGGCATGCAAAAATTCTAAAATTAAAAATATGAAACCGTAATTTATGAAATAAAGAACAATTATGATCTAAAGGGTATCAAAATTTACAAAAAAAAAAAAAAAAAAGAAAGCTTAATATTTATTTGTTTACTTTATTAAACATTTCTTTCAATGTAAGTTGTTTAAGTTGCTTCGTAATACTTTCTCTTTAATTCTATAAACAGACAATTTCTTGTTCAGTTACAAAGTTCCGCTGTTCAAGTCATCATTGTTGTGCCGAGAATACCGACTAACTTGTCAATCAAAATTTTTTCGTTTTCACTAACCTCTCTGTCACCTTCTTCATGTCTTTATCCATTTTTGCAGCAATTCCACTTTTTGTTTGATGGACATCGAAACATACTTTCGTTTTGTTTGTAGATCCTTTGGGGAGCTCCAAGCATCGGAAATTCTATTTGACATAATCAAAAGTTCAAGTTTACTTTTATAAAATTGCTCTTACAGTCTGCAAAAAATAATAAGCGGGATCCAATTCAAAGATTAAGGAACAACGCAATCATCAACATTAACTGAAATAGATAATTTTAGCTTATACCGTCCGTTATACATAAAACGCGCACGCGGAAACATATTCTGCGCTTGCGCACATGCATATGCGCAGTCGCAAAGGTCTTACGTGCACGCGTAAACGGCTGTGTGCATGTGTCAACGCGGCGCATGCACAGAAAGTTTTTAGCTTTGAGGTCCGGATTATAGATCATTCCGGATTATGGGTGTCCGAATAAACGACTTTTGACTGTATTGTATGCAAGTTCACCCATAGGAGTTAGTTTATATTTTACATTTCTGAAATCTTCCAAAAAAATATGTGTAAACATTAATTAACTTAATAATTTCGTGTCATTTAATATTTTACGTACTAACTAGCAGAACGAATTGCTTATTGGCAGTTAGCATTTAAAAGACTTTCTATCATCAACCATCTTGAATTGTGTGAATTTTTAATAAATTTGTTTACTATTTCAGTGTAATCTGATTGCTCTTTCCAGAATGTTTTAGAGAGTTTAGACAGTTATACTTAATTTTTATTTAAAGTATCTCATTATTTAATTATTGAATGTATAAACAGGTATGAAATTTGTATGGATAAGAAATACTTGAATTGTTTGTTTTCAGATTAAACTGTTTTGTCAACATCCTATTCATATTCATCAACATCCGATAATGGTAGAAAGAAAGCTGAAAATACATAAAGATTGCACTCTTGCTGAAGCTACGGCTACAGCTCATACTGTAAGTATTTTTTACCATTTTGCAGGACATTTATGCAATTCCAAAATTTTTTTTAAATGCTGCATTTTGAAACATATTTTGAAATTGTGTATATTAAACGATAGTTTTCATGCATAAATTTTTTGGATGTTGTAGTATCTAGTATACTAGAAATTGTATATAATTAGTTCATTTAATTCTATTCCACTAATTTTTAAAATCATAATATTACTGTTATTACATTTATATGTTATTCAGTATTGATGGGGAAGAACTTTCATAAAGTTTTATGTAAGTTATTTGTAAAAATTTGTATAAATTTATCTTCATTACATTGAAAATATTATTTACCTCTACACAAAACAACTATAAAATTTATATTAATATTTTTAACATTGTAATTTTAGATAATGGGCTTAGAAGGAATAGTTCCTCTGGAGTGTTGCAGGTTAGTAAAGTACGATGACTTCCATGATTCTCTTGAGAGTTCATTTGATGCCAATAGTGAAGAAACTATAGGAGAACTCCTTGGTGGAGTTAAATCAAGTTACAAATTTGACTTATTACTAGAAATTCGGAAACCGCAAGAACAATTCCAAGAGTATAAACCTGGAGGTTGGTTTATTTCTGCATGTGCCTTATTTTTGTAGATTAGAAATGTGTGTGCATTTTTGTGAATGATTTAATGTAATATGCTTTTTGACAGTCTGATCCATGTGCTTTAGAATATATGCCATTTTTTTTAGTTGAAAATCTAGTACATTAGCTCTCCCCCCAAAAAAAAATTTCTGCTTCATGAGTAATTTGCAGTATGTAAATTGTTGTGTATTAATTTACATATTTGCTCTGAATTAGGGTAGATGTATATTTCTCACCAATGAAATGGTAATGCTGTGGTGGTAGAATCACAGAGTTACACAAATTAGGTAAAAAAGAGATGTTAAGTGTAAAAGTGCATAGAAAATTTGCAAGTAATTAGCACATCAAATTATGCATCTCTATATCTTTTGACATACTAATGACAAAGTTATAATAATTGCTTCTGGAATATTTTCTCATGCTGCCAGAACTTGGCCTCTCCAAACATTAGTTTACATATAGTTATTCCTTATATAAGTGCTGACAGTCTGTTCTGTTGTTCTATGTTTGAAAGTATGTCTGTTGCAGCATTATAAGTCTGTGCAGGATGGCCTCAGCAAGGTTAAACAACATGTGGTCTGGTATTGTACTGTTTAAGACCACCTGGAGCATTCTGCAAGAAAACCTAATATTGGCTGCTTAATCATAACACTGCTGAGTGTCAGTATCCTTGGGATGGAAATGAGAGGGGTTCATTTGTCATCTGAACCCACCTTGCATGTAAAGTGCAGTTAGCTGGGCCTCTGTGCTATTCTTTCATGGATATCCAATATCAGTGGCATTTGTGCTGTCATCTCTGTGTCACTTTTTCAGCCATTGTTGCATCTGAAGGATTTATAATTGAATAATATAATTGTATATTTAAACTTGCTATCATGTTCTGTGCTAAGTTAGTTGTTGAGTATAATGTGTAAGCATAATTTAATACAGACATCAGTATGTTTGGTACCGACATCAATAACATACAAAGACATTGACTGTTAGTTTTACAGCTTTGTATGGAGTTACTTGCATTCAGAGTTTTATTTTGTCCCACTTATATGTGGGAATTGAAAGTGGATAGTATGTTATTGCGCACGAGTTATTTATTCACACCACAGGACTACATTACGCATTATGATATGCTGTTTTCCATTAAATCTCATACTTTTTGAAGCTCTATTTGCATTGTATTGGATGGGCCTTGGCTTCTGAAAATTTAATCAATTTCATATCTTGGCCATACTTTATATTCTGCTTATTTTCATATTTCTATGATTATGTTATTGCAAATTCACTTCGGAATGTAAAAAATGAATATTATCTTCAGTGTATTTATTTTTATGTATGCCACCCATTCTCAGAAATATTTCAATTAAATGTTGATTTTACTAGGCTTTTAATAACAATTTTATATTTTCAAATAAAGGAACTACGGTCAAAGTTCATGTAGTCGATCTTGAACGAGAAGAAGTTGCTTCTCATCCAGTCACAATTAGAAGTCATCCATCCAACACAGTGGATGAACTGAGGTCCCAGATTGCCCAGGTATTGGTAAAATCTGAGAATATTTTGTTATTGCGTTTCATATTTAATTACGTTAATTTTTCATATAAAATTATCGAAATATATTTTATATTGTTGTATTAGTAGCTCTGTATGTAAATAAATTCAATTTTTCAGTCATAAAAATGTATGATTGTGTGTTCAGTTATAGAATTTTGAGTCTCCAATTTAAAATTATTGGCAATCTAATACAAATTTTTATTTAACTTTAAAAATAAAATTATGCTACTATTCACTTATTTTTCACTTTTTCAGTCTCTTGGAGTTGATGGTAGCAAAATGAGAATCGTTCTGGAAGCATATAGTAATGAAACTAAAATTTTAGATGTTCCATTAAGGACTTTGAGTAGTGAAGGTTTCAGGAAGAGCAACAAGGTATATTTATCTGTTTGTAACTGTAGGTATAAAATTCTGTTTAGTTCTTGGCAAATTAAGTTCATTCAGAAAACATGAATTAAAATTTTTATTGAGCAAAAACAAGTAAAAATGTAGTTGGCATCAAAAATGCTGTTAAATGTTTTTGCTGTAGAATATGCCTCTGTCATCTACCAGCAGCTGAGACTCATTTTTGTAGTTGAGTATCTGAGAAGATGTCTAATTTTGTGTGGGAAGAATTACATGTGCTGATGATGTTTTTGGTTTTATTTATTTTATAAATATGCATATTCTTCTTGCAAATGAAACAAATTTAAAAATTTGTAATTCACCATTATGTGGTATCTTCAAAAACAATATGTGCAGTATGGATTTACTTGGGCAAGTGTCACAGCACTCACTAGTTTGACATCTGCCATTCTTTTCTTGCTTTTCTGAATACATAATGCAGTCTTTTCTTCCACCTTTCCTGATTATATGCAGTTTCTTGTTTAATCCTTTAAAGAATTCTCATTCTTTGTCTTTTCGGTGGTATAATTTAGCTACCACTATTTGAAATATCAGAATCATAATCAACATTGTCTTCTAAATTATCCTTTAATGCTTGAAAATTAAATATATCTTTACTATTACTCAGCTCTAAATTTTCACCATAACATTCATTTATGTTTTGAATCACAATAATAATAATAATAATAAAAGTCTTAAAGATTTTAACATCAGTATCAGAGACAGCTCATTTTAATTGTAGATAACAGCTGCCAACAATGATAATGATATAGCATCTTAAGTGTAATCATGTTAAAAACACTCAGCTCTGTGGTGGAGCCACCATAGTTACTGAAAAAATGAGCAATGTATCTATCCAGATGTAACTAAGGGTTAGAAGTGCTGGCTTTTTTCTGTAGCTGTGTGAGTGAGCAAGCATATGCTATTCATAAAATACTTTTAAACAAATGAATCAATTTGTTTAGATTTGTCATTCATAAATCAAAACTAGGATGGGTTGCCTGTCTGAAAAGTCACACATATTTCAGTAACACCCAACGACTGTTACGTATGTGGTGGGTAATGCTGTTTGTTAAATCATTTATATTTTCCCATCAGTAAATTTTGTAGATGAACATGATTGTTGTTATTCTTCATTTTTCTTTAATACAGTCCTAGCTGTCTAAAAATTGATTGTATCGTTAATATAACTTTTGATTACTGCAAGTAATTGTGCTACAAAATTGTCGTCATCAAATTTTGGTCACAGAATTCCTACATAATTTGTAAACAACCTTTTTTTATGTGTGTGTGTGTGTTCTGTGTTAAAAGTTAAACAATGTTTTCCATTTTGAGTTCATTCTGCATATATGTTGCCATCACTATATCTGATATCTGTCTGTATATAAGTAAGATTTCGCTATAGTACTGTGAAGGTTGTTTTAATAAATCATTTTTATGTTACTTTTTTGTATACTACTGTGTTAGAGTATGTTGCCAGTTCGAGGCTAGTAGCTTTCCCAGTTTTAAATGCCATAATGTTGTAATTATGTGTAATATTGATATCAGACTTTATTCCTCTTGAGTCCTTTTAACCTCAAAATGATATATCTTGAATATATATATATATATATATATATCAAAATCTTGAAAATCGGAACGAAAAAGAAAATGCTGTATTAAATATTTGAAGGTTAAACCTATTTCCTCCGTTGTAACAAAATAAACTGGTAAAATATGAAATAAAGAAAATTTTCTTTTTGTTTTATTAACCCTCTGAGTGTTATGGGTGGCTTTATCTGGTCATGAGATTTTTTGTTATTTGTTATATATTAGCTTATAATTTATGATATTTTGCTTTCTTAAATAATATAAATATCATCTTATTAAATGTAAGTTTATGAAAATAGAGCCTAAAATAAGTAAATATACAAATTTAGCTAATAAAGTGTCTTTGAATACAGGTCTTCATGACAGATCCAAAAAAAACTGTGCCGCTCAGAGGCTTAAACTCCTTAAAAGTATTTGCATATATATATATATATGCAAATACTTTTAAGTTTTTGAATATATAATATAAAAATATTTGCATATATATGCAAATATTTTTAATTATGATTAACTCTTCAAATTATGAGAATACTGATTTGAAAGCAGTGTAGATTGTATGAAATGTTGCTTTGCTTCTGATAGCCGATATGAAGTAAATATTTGAGCTTTATAATTAGTTCAGATTTTGTTGTCCTATGGATTGTATATGGAACAGATGGTTTATATTGATGGCTAGGTGCCATCAATACTAAATGCATCCATTGCTGACATATGTTGCTGTTATATTTCTTTGAAAGAATGTGTGTGCAAAAGGAAAATTTAAAACCAGAGAGGAGTTGTTATTTACAAAATTAAGTAATCCTGTCACCTCTGTTAAAGTGTCATCATACTGCACTGTTAGAGTATCACAAGTATTAAAAAGCAGTAAAATATAAAGTAGTTGAATATAAAATATAAAGTAGTTCTTAAATATTCTTAAATTCTCGTCAATGTAAATTTTTTTTCTTTGTCTCTGGAAAAATCCTGGAAAGAGTCCTGTGATGTTCCAGTTCACATGTTAACATGAAGTGGACTGATTCAAACATTACTATGCAGTTGATTTCTGCCATAAGAGCATCTTTAACGTGATTTCTTAATGGGATAATTGAAATCAACTGTAGTTGTTTCCAAGTTGAATAAAATTTTTAGATGATCAAAATGGTTTCACCACCCTTTCTTTAAGAAGAAAAACATAACATCTTTGAAGAACCATTACTACAGGGATGTCTTTTAGCATTTAAAATTAAAATTTTAATTTAAAAGTATTATTTAATGTATTTTGTAAAAATCTTTCCTTTTTTTTTTATTTTTTGAAATAGGTTTTTGTTGAATTTAAAGATGCTGAAGATGCTGCAAAGCCTTACAGTCAATCAAAACTTTTCAGAATTTTAGATTGCTATGCTCATACCATCTGCATACATGTAGCCCTTCCTAAAGTAGATAAAGGTATATTTTATTTTTTAGTATTTTTCAGATTAATGAATGGTACCTCTGTATCTGACATTTTAATCTGTCCCATGTTTTTGGACATAATCAAAAGAACTTTTCTAATAAGAAATAAAGGAAAAATAATTAATCCTTTCTTATACAAAAATCCTACTGTTATTATTGCACTGTTTAATACTAAAATATAAATGCAGTAGATGAAAGAGTATATACTTGTATATAAAGCACTGCACAGGATACTGTATATAAATGTTTTCTGCTCTCTATATCAAAACATTCTCTGATGTCTCTGATTTTTACTTTGTAATTGATTTCATTCCCTTTGCAATGTTAGTTAATTTAATAATGTCTGTGATTTTTGCTACCATAGACATGATCAGAACCTATCTCAAATCCTACCAAGGTATCAGAGTGTTTATAAAATTATGTGTATAATCTTACAAAAGGAATCTGTAAGGAAAATAAGTATTAAAATAAATGTAAAATGTAAATCTTCTTGGAAGTACATTTAAATCTTCATAAGAGGACCTTCTGTATTCCTAGATGACCAATTTTCCGTGGATGGTTTAGAGAAATCCATGCTATCCATTATTTAGTTATATTTTAAAAATATGTCACTTTCACAAATGGCTGTCTATATATAGTTTTGAGGTTTTATTAAAATATTAACATAAGCTATAAAATTGTAGTGAATTATTTGTATAAATTGTATTACAGGTGACTGTTTATAAGCATTTATTTTGAGTAAATGTTTATATTTTGGTAAACGTATTTGCATTATTTCCCCTCTTTTTGTTGTACAGGGTATTTCATATTGAATGGGACAAAAAGAATATAATAGTACAAGTTCTGTAATTGATTTATTAAGACAAAAAATTAATTCTGAAATTAGCACTATTCAAGTTTTATCTGCTGACAGCAAAAAAAATCTGTTTACAAAATCGCCACTAGAGGCCTGTTATTCAGATTGATGCTTATCCATGCAGGAGAAAGCATACTGTGTTATGGAATACATTGAAACATCATCGTTTATCATCATTCAAATACTTTTTTTTGCGTGAAATGTCGTAAAAATCACTGCATCATCATTACAACATCAAATGGCAGGTGAAACAGTTTCAGGATATGGGATGCTTACGTAAGAAAGCCAGCCCAGGACGAACAGCAGCCAAAACCGAAAATGTATGGCATGTGTTATGGAATGTATGGCATGTGTTATGGAAGCGTCTACAATTTCGTCTATGCACCATTCCAGTGGTGCTGGAGTTGAAACCATCTGATAAACCTCTACATAAAGCTTTCTGTGAGAATTTACTAGATTAGCTCAAATGGTTTTACAAACAATTTGTATTTACGGTTGAGGCCAGTTTTCACATTTCTGGCAAAGTTAATCACCATAATTTATAATTTCAGGGCACAGAAAATCCACATGGTGTAATGTAACATGAATGTGATTCTCCACAGATGAACATTTTGTGCATCATTTCCATCAGTTGTGTTTTGGATTCTTTTTTCTTCATGGTGAAATATATTAATAGCTGCATTTACCAAGATATGCTATTAGAGTGGTGGTTCCCTCAGTTGGAGGAAGCGGTTTCTGCCTTCATTCTGTAGCAAGTTTCTCGGTTTCATTCACCACCATACTGGCATAAAAACATACGCCAGCACCTGAATGATAGTCTACTCCATCGCTGGATTGGCCGTGCTGGGTTAAACAATATGCCATTGCTATGTTGGGCGCCGAGATACCCAGATCTACCCCCTTACGATTTTTTCTTGTGCAGTTTTGTTAAAGACAAAGTGTTCATTTTTTCAATTTACCCAGGGCTTAACAGCAGCTGAAGCAGTGGATAACTGAAGGGCTCAAATCATTAACAAAGGCTATTCTATCACAAGTGTTACAGAAACTGGAATACTGCATTAAAATATTCTGATGTATATTAGTTTACTTTTAAAGCTATTGCTTTGAGTATTGATCAAATGTAAGCTCATTCACTATTTTAATGTTTGCATAACAAGTTATTTGCTGTTGCACATGTTTTTTAATTTTGCTTTGAAGAATAGTTAAGGATATGACATTTGCAAATACTTTTCACAATTTGGACGCTGTGTCACCGGAGGGGCATACATAGGACTTGGATAACAATAGTTTCACTGTGAGTTTGATTTATCAAAATAAAGTAGTAACAGCATTCACAGGTATGCTTTCTTTTTGTCCTATTCAATATGAAATACACTGTACTTGTTTTGATGTATACTTGCTATGAAAAAGTTAAATCATTTATGAAATTAGCTTGTTTTTTAAGTCGAAAAACAAAAATTGAATGAATACTAGGCTAAGAAAAGTAAATTTTATTCCTGTGTATAAGTACTAGATGCACTTTTTATCCTTTTAATTATAATTTTGAAATTTTTGTTGTCATCACATAAATGCATTTAACTCGTTCACTGCTGAGCAACATTTTAAAAAAACCGTTCCACCATGCCAACAAATTTAAATTAATTAATTGTAAAATAAAAATACGAACATGTATTTAGGGGGAAAGATATTGAATTTAGATAACTTTTTATTGCTTTATAAATAATACGAGTTAGTCTTTTTTTTTTTTTGTGATAAAATTTTTATGAGAGCGGACGCTACGAGAATACTCATAATGAGTATATTTATAGTTGGCAGTTGCTCATAACAAAGATTGATTATTTTTACAACAATTATTATAACAAAGATTGTTATAACTTGCTCGATTATTTTTACAGTTCCTATGTTATTTACTTTAATTATATTATACTTGTATTAATTATAATAAATGTCCTGAATTGCACCAGATTGTTGTATTTTTCCTAATCTCCAAAGCCAGATACCTTCAAAGAATATGAAAATATTATGAGTTTGATAATATCTGGCATAGGTAAAGCAGAAACGTTCTACGAATTAAATCATAGCTGGTGCCTAAACACAAACTTTGACCTATGAGATAACTGGTAGTTGGCAGCGAACATGTTAAAATATTCTGATGTATATTAGTTTACTTTTAAAGCTATTGCTTTGAGTATTGATTAAATGTAAGCTCATTCACTATTTTAATTTTTGCATAACAAGTTATGTGCTGTTGCACATGTTTTTTAATTTTGCTTTGAAGATTAGTTAAGGATACTACGACATTTGCAAGTACTTTTCACAATTTGGAACTGAATGAACTAATACATATTGAGAATATACTGTTTTTATAGTGTTTTAGATTGATCAAAAATGTGTACTGTGACCTGTCTAAGATGACTGTGCATAGTTCCAAATGATGTGTTGTGAAAGGGTGACCTTAGACAGGTGATGTCTAGTAGCAATGTGTTTTTTAATGTTCTTATAAATGGTGGTCATTTTCAGAGGCAGTTTGCTACAAGAGGTTTTGCTGCATTTTAATTTTGTGTAATTTATTATATAACTGAAGGTCTTTTACTGTTAGAATTTTTGTTAGTATCTGTAAAAAATATAATTTAATGAAAAATCTTTTGAAGCAATTTTAGATCGTTTACGTCTCCATAACTGTGATGAAGATGGAGGGAAATATGACTCCAGCAGTGAAGAAGAAACAGAAGAAAATGGTATGTAGGCTTAATTGTAATTCTCAAAATTATGTAAGATATCAAATTTTTTAAACTGTCATTTTCAGCAGGAATCTTGATAAGTTTCATTTAACTTTTTCTTAAAATGAACCATTTGGAAATTTTTGAAGCATCTAGATGGAAGTGAAATTTAAATAATATTCTGTATATGAGTTATTTTAAAATGGGTTTCAGTAAGTGACTGTTCTCCAATGAATGAATTTTGTAGTTTTTCAGTTTGTTTCATATACTGGAAGACTTTTGGTTTCTTATTTTATATCTCAGTTTCCTGGTCCCCCACTGAATCATCCAGTTTTTAATTTTTAGCCTTTTCTAAGGAAAATATATTCCAATAATAAATGAAATTTATCGAATTAATGAAACTTAAATTAGGCAAATTCCATTCTTCCATGCCTAATGGTTTTTCAGCATAACTTCTCTCATTAAATTTATTTGATCTGAATTGCCTTGATTTGCTGTAAATATTTGTAGAACATTTTGTGTGTATTCTATCAGCAAATATTTAGTCAGTTAATATTTGTATTTAATTTTGTTTCACATCAATATATAGTACATTACTAAGTTTATCCATACAATAATATATATGTACAGTAATTATTAAGTCTATTTTCATCATATATAAAAGTAACTTGATAAATCAAAGCTTTCTTTTCCTACATACGAATTTTTCAGTATAAAAGTTTAAGAAACTTTGAATAAATCTTTGAATATGTAATTAAATATTAATATATTTTCATAAGACTCGTACAAATAATTCAATAACCATAATCGTACTCGTATAAATAGTTCAATAACCATAATCATACACAAAAGCCAAATGGATTTTTTTTAAAAGTGGTGTTGCCACGTAGAGTGAAAAATTGTTTGAGACTCACTCTTTCAAAACATATTCTCTTTCAAGGCTGGCAACTATGATATTTCTATTAGCTATACAATGATTAGGTTAGACAGGTTTATCTCTTTCAAAAACTTTTATCTCTGATACTTTAAAAAAAAAGGGGGGGGCAAATGCTCCCCTTTTTGCATCCTTATAACTTAAAATCTATTCTGACTTATGAGCAAGCTTTTTACAATATTTGAATACCGTATTTTATTTTGTGAAACAGGTTACAGAAACATTTTGTTAAGAGTGTTAGGGAGTTAATGAAAGCAGGTGCATAAGAACATAACTTACTGAAGTTAGACATTTTGTATGTAACTACATAAGCGTAAGGTGAGGTTTAGTGAAATATACTGACAAGTTTTTGCATATGGTTGTTTGTAATAAAAAGTTTAAGGTTATTTTCCCCTGTAAATGCACTCTTCATTTGCATTTAAATTTAGGTTAAAAAAAAAAAAAAAAAAAAAAAAAAAACTTAATTTGATATTGATTTTGAATAAACCATTCTTGAATTCAGAGTGATCAAACTCTCGCCCTTCTACACAGTAGCAAATAATAAACTGTACCATTCAATTTCCCATCTTTTTAAAATTATAAGCGTCCATACTTTAAAAGCAAAAAGTTGGCTGTATTTCATTTTGGTTTTATTATATTTGTTTTCAGGAAATACAAAGTTTTAACATATGCAACACTTTTGGGCCTTGTTGAAAAGATTGTTAGGTCAGGTAATTTTTGTAACCAAAAAGAAAACAATTTAAATAATTCTTCAATTTTATTAAATTAATTGAAGACTGTAACTATAAACAGTTACTGCATTCTTATTTGTCTGTTTTAAGTTTCTGATAGTAAATAGTTAGATAAAATATGAATTCTGAGAAGAGTTTCTTTGTTTCATGTAATGCAGACAATGATTTTATTTAACTTACAAATGAAACAAAATGATAAAAACAAGTGAGCATAGCTTGCGTGAAATATTATTGGGTTCTTCTAAAATTTTTAAAGGAATACCCAATGCTGTTCATTGAAATACTTTTTTTTTTTGTCTTAAAAACTTTTACTTTCTTTTTAAGTTCAGATAATTATTTTGTGAAAGTGCTGTCAAGAAAACTGGTAAGATGTCTGAAGAGGAAACTTTTATTTTGAGATTTCAAATTTTTATTTTATTTAGTTTTTATAGTAATGCTGTTTGGTATAAATGGGTGAAACTAAAAATTCACATGACAATTGTATTTTGGTCGATGATTTTAAATAAAAATATGGCATTTTAAGACCTGTTAACTGATATATATATGCAATAACGTTAAGGTTCACTTAACAGTATTACATCTCATTCATTTTATAACTCAGAAAAATTTCTATCATCTAATCGTTGCCACATGTTCCATTCAAATACTATAATAAATCTAAAACGATGTATAAAAAAATTTGAGCAAGCAAACAAAAAAAAAAAAAAAAAAAAAAAAAAGGAGGGGGGAGAGAAAAGAAAATTAATTCAGTTCTCACTTCGTGACAAGGTAAAAATACATAAAGATTCAAAATATCTATGCTAAAAATTACGAAGTAAATCTTAAACACTTATTTCCTCGAATAAATGGATTAAGCATGATTTAATTCACAATAGTTAAAAAAGGCATTAGCTTTGTTGTTGCAAAGCTTAGTGTCTCTAGATTAGCAACAAATCCATTATTTTGCTAAGTTTCTAATGTAAACAAACATGTCTGCTATGGTAAAAATAATTAGGTTTAACCGCACTTAAACAACTTTTAAATTGTTGATAATTCTACAAATATTGCATGCAGATTTACTAAATGCATAACCTTAACTGGAAGATAAGAACAACATAATTCAATCATTTTTAAAGCAAAAAGTGCATGATTTAAAAAAATATAAGAATAAAAAAACTGAGATCACTGAGCCAAGTAACAGAGTAGATATATATATATATATACATATATTTATATACTTTTGGTGCGGCCTATTGCAACCAAAATGGGAGGTGCACATCTACATGTTATAGAGTCCTATATACAAAGTTTCAACGTTCTCAGATTACTTGTTTTTGAGTTATGCAAGATACATATGCACAGACCGCGCAAAAAATTTGCTTCAGAATTCATTTTAAATCTCTTTTATAATTTTTTGGGGGAAAAAGAGTCCTTTTCTCTGTCCTTACGTACAAATGTCACACAAAAACATAGATTGCATTCGATAGCAGTCAAAATGGATATTTTTGTTGGAAATAATGATACCCGAAATTTTTCGCGATTACAATAGTTCCTTTTTACTTCATACAAGGAAGTAATTAAGATAACCATTTTCCCTCCAGCAATGGATGTTCAGTATCTGGTATAAAACTGAGGTTAAATCATTCAGACGAAAAATCTATAAACATTCAAATTTTTGGAAATCTGCACAATGGGTGTACAAACAGCTAGATTTCAAAACTTCAGATTTAATCGTAAATCAATTTTTAGAAACATAACCATTTTCATGTTTCTAATTATAGAATATTGCATCTTACTATTACTTGTTTATCCTTTGGCATTTGTGACATTAAGCAATTCTTTCTATTGTAAATTTATAATTTAAGTTGTGTTCATATGTGCCCACTGCTGTGCATAACTGGAATGAAAGCTGAGCTTGTTGATGACCATTGGTGTTAATTAAGATGTTATAATTGGCTGTTTACATATCTTACTCCTAACTATTACTGAACTATTTTGTGCCTAGTTTGGGCACAAATATCCATTTTCAGTGTATTTTAACTTTTCTTAGGCTTGTTATTTAATACTGAATTTGTTTTGTTTAGACTCCACTGATACTGGAGTGGGATTGGAGAAATCATCTACTATCAGTGTATCTTCCAAAATGTGCTCCGTCCTTGATTCCAATTGGGTTGAAGGGTCTAAAGTCCTAGCCTCATCAAATGCTGAATTCACAAAGAAGAACCACATCACAATCACTCCTGATGACCCGTCCCAAGATTACGATGAAGGCTTAGGTGACAGCGAAATAGGTGACACAGCATCCACCAATGGCTGCCACAGTAACCAAGCTATTCATAGTGATCAATCTGAAGACAGCAGCTTGACGGACAGTGAAAGGACACTGGTCGGTGATGAGTTATCCCCTCGAAATAACTCTCCCGATATAATGGGAACCGAGATGGAACAAGATCTCGAACCCCTTCATTCTAGTTCTGAAGTGTCAAAACCTGAATGTGACAGTATGTTAATGAACACAGATACTAATTGCCCTATTCATGGACAAGATGATACACGCAATATGTCCTCACCTGAAGAGAACACCAAAGACTCAAAATGTAATAACTCTGAGTGTTGTAAAAATTTGTGTACATGTTCAAATCAAACTGTGTTGCCTGAAATTACACCTAAAAGGTACTTCAGGGCATATAATTACACAGATTATGAAACAGGAGAAAGAAGTAAGTCTTATCTGCTTTTTAATTTATTCTAAATTTTTAGTGTAAGGTTGAATTTATCAGTGGTGTTTAAATTGTTAATACCGCAAAGTTTTTTTTTTTTTTTTTTCCCGGGTGTGTATAAGACTTGCCGTATTGTTATTTAGAGGATATTTCACAAGGTGAAAATTTTATTAAAAATAGAACAGGTGTGCTTTGCACAAAGGTGAATCACAAGAGAGGGGATTTTCGATGAGGAATAAACAGATCTCATATTAACTGATCTGTATGGGACTGAACATTTGATGTATATGATTATTAGAGACGGAATTTGTATTTCTAAAAAGTATGCATATATGTTATCTATAAAATATTTATAAATTATAAATATTAGGAATATTTATGTGTGTATTTATTTTGTAAATTTCTTTTAAGTAAAATTATTATTTTTTCCACAAAAGTGTTTTTCCATTGGAAGGTGAAATGTTTTTTTGCATTAGTTTGGTTAATAAAAGAATGTTTTAACATTTTGAATCGGTTCTGCCATTGTAAATGAATTTCATTTTGGCTTGTTTGAGTTTGTTATTTTAAAGTGAGTGCTGCATCTATGATATGGAAGGCAGGTTAAAAACATCTTAAGCTCAAAAAGTTATGAGTAATAGTACCATTCTTTATCATAGAATGAACAACAAAAATTTTATTTTTTAAAAACAGTCTTTGTGAAATAATGGCCAGTTAAAATGAGACTGGGACTATTATATTTAGTTCATATTATCACTAATTATTGTAGTGTATAAGTAGTAATGATCATGTACAAAATAGTATTAAATTCCATTTATTTACATGCACAGAATCCATTATATATGAAAAAACTAATTTTTCAGGGTTATGTATCAGTAAAGGAGAATGGTTTTCTTCCCCATTTTGGCTTTGGTGTTTGTTATTATTGTTAATGCAGTGCGGCACCTCTTTTGATGTAGAGGTAAAATTAAGTACTTCTTTTGATGCAGAGGTAAAATTAAGTATTTGTGCTTTGCTGAAAAAAATCCTCCTCCTTGTGATTCCTTTCTGGGCAAACTGCATTCCATTCTACCCATTTATTTAATTTTTATAAATTTCTGAAATTTTTACCAATTTTTTAAAATTTTGTATTATGTAACATATGTTTTCTTCTGCTGTATTGAAAATTGTGGTAAACTGATTTATTAAAATTAATTAGTTCCAACTGTTAATTGAAAAAATGATAATTAAAAAAATTATGCAGCTGCATTGTAGCATTTAATTTATGGGTTTTTAGTTATGAAAAGATTGAGACTTGTTAGTGACTTACTGGATAAAGTTTGCAGAATGTCTAGTTTATTCTGTGTTAAAATCATAGCAAATAGGGTGGCTGCAAGGATTTTTTTTTTTTTTTTTTTTTTTTTTTTTTGGTGTATTATCCATATATAAAAGCAATGAGAGCGGTTCTTTTTTTAGAAAATTCTCCATGAAGGTAACTTTTTCTATGGGCCTCAATGTGGTTTTCCGTATTCAGTCAAATCTGTGCAGAGAATGTTCTCAATTTTGTGGTCAGTTCTTCAAGGTATGTGTTAGATATATAAATTACATTAAATTCTATTCATCAGAATATTGGATTTTTGATGAATTTTATCAGGAATTGAGAAGTAAATGGAAATCCCCCCCCCTCCGATGTATTGTGAATGACATTGATTACGGAAATAGAATGTTTCCAGATGAATAAAAAGGAGTTTAAAGTTTTCGTTGTTTTTGAGACCTTCTCTGAAACTTACTTTGATAAATTTAATTAGCTAGCAATGCCAGCCTATTTCAGCAACATATTTTGGACTGAACTTTAAAGTGCTAGTTCAAAAGAAAAAGTAGCAGTTAGAAAATCTAGTGTATAGAATTATCATGTTCAAATGAAAGATAGTTGTCTTTCTAGAAAGTGATACCTTTGTGGAAAAACTTATACATTTTATAATAGTTGAAACTTATTTGTAAATACAAACTTTGAGAAATCTTTCTAATATTTATGGCATTAAAATGTGGATTAGGGATTTATTTGTTCTTACTGCAGAAAGTTTTGAAATATTTTAATTAACTGGATTTGAAGTAAATTTGTTAAATTACTTGTATTTTGATTTGAAATGAAAATAATTTCTTGATTAATTTTTGACTGAGTTGTTAAGGTACAGATGCACATTTATATCAATGATTAAGATTCTTAATATTCATTATTACAGCAGGTTAGTATATATTAAGATTTCGCCCTTTTGTTTGCTTTAAAAGCGAGCATGGAAACAATTAGGATATTGAGCAAGATATAAAATTTTATTATATTATTTGCCAATATTTTAAATAGTATAGATATGTAAATGTGATGCAATGTTTGTGGCTCTTGTTACTTTAAACAGTCAAAAGTGTTTTCCTCCTTAATATATCTAAAATAACATTTTGTTCGAATTACTTGTTTCTTTTAGATCAAGTAAATAAGGTTGTGTCATGTTAGTCATAATTCAGGTATTTGTTTTCTTTTGAATGTTGTGTTCATACATTAATTTTAAAAAAAAATTCTGAATTATGGTTGAAGGTTATGTGTTGGTGATAAAATGTAAAATATCTCAATGCATTTTAGCTTATTTTGCATTAACTTTATCTTTATCAAATACTTTATTTTTCATCATTATCACACATGCAATAAATAAAAATAGTATAAATATTTATATGGGTTCCAAAGATGACTTCTTACTAACCCTTTAGCATTTGGCCCTATTTTGATTATCTACATTGAAGGCATAACCTCAAGTACACTCATGTGCAAAATTAATACAATTTGTGAAGTATATCGAATTTCCGAAAAACTAATGAACAGATTTTAATGAAATTTGGCAAGAATATATATTTGTAACAGAAAAAAAAAAAAAAAAAAAAGATGTACTATTCAAGAGTAATTTTTTATGTATATAATTATCAGTAAAGCTTATGAGGCAGGGATTTAAATTGCAGATGACACTACATTAAGCTTTATAGCCACATGTGCTTGTGGTTGGCCTGCTTCCAATTTACCAACAATTCTCCATCTCATTCCATCATCCACATGTTCGTCGCTACTCATTTTACCTGATACCTTATGAAAGCTATGCAAGTTTTGTATTTGACTCTGAATATTTGCATAATACTTTGGTGACAAAATTAGCATCTTTTAGTTCAGTACCTCTCAGAAAAATAGATATAGTTTGTAAATTCTCTTAATTTTGCACATGGGTGTATTATTAACACAGTTTTGAATTGTATATAGATAATCAGGTGGATGCTAGAATGTTAATGAAAGATAATGAGATATTAGTCCATAGGTGTATATTTTCATTACAGATCCTATCTCCCAAACTCTGATAAAGTCTCCCAATTTTTAATTTTTACCCTTAATAAGGAAAATGAGTACAATACCGTTCATTATCAGGACTAAAAATCGGCAAACTTTTGTTGATGTCAAACAGTTTTGAATTGTATATAGATAATCAGGTGGATGACAGAATGTTAATGAAAGATAATGATATATTAGCCCATAGGTGTATATTTTCATCACAGATCCTGATCTTCCAGACTCTGATAAAGTCTCCCAATTTTTAATTTTTACCCTTAATAAGGATAATGAGTACAATACCATTCATTATTAGGACTATAAAATTCGGCAAACTTTTGTTGATGTCAACTATGCCAAAAATAATTATGGTAACCATAATGCAAGGAAGTAAGAATAATTCTTATTTCTTCCTATCTATTTGAATTTAGATGAAAGGGTAACTTCATGTATTACGTTTTTTTGTTACAGTTCGTGGAAAAAATTAAATGTCTAAACAAAATTAAATTTAAATAGGAAGTATGAAATTTTTCATGGCTGCCAACATTAAAGAGAACCTTAATATAATAATAATTCCAACATTTTGGCAGATGTCTCTGCATAAATTCAGATGAGTGAGAATCAAGGTGCTATCGATGGCATTTATTATACCATTTAGCACTGCCCCATGGCCACTGTGTTTTTTTGTGTATAAGATAAATATTTTTCTTTATTAATGAATCCTTTATAATTTTCGTGCATTTCTGAGATTCCATAATTTTGTTGTCTTTAGTAATAAGTTTACTTTAAAAAAGTTATGTGAACTATTTCTCATTGAAAGGATATACATCCATAAAAGCAACAAAATCATTTATAGCTAATTTATCAGTTGTGTTGCAGAATATGCATCAGACCATTTCCTGATCCTATCATTTTAATGTGTAACTAATTGTTAAAATAATTTATATAAAATATGTAATAATTTAAGTAAATCTAATTAATGCATTTTCATGGATCCAATTGGTAATTACTATTGAAATAAATATGTTTACTGCTTTTAAATTACTTTATTAATAATGAACTGTTTGAAAGAAAATTAAATCTTATGTTTCCGTAAATAAAGACAAACTGGTGCATTGGAAAATAAAAATATTTTATATTGCTTTAATTAATTCTTTTATCCAATTTGAAAGACAAATATATTAAATTTTGCTGAATGGCAACACACTTCTTATATATCACTAATTTAGTTTTCTGATTAAATTTAAAACACAAATATCTTACACTTTGCAGAATGGCTATGCATAGCTTTTAAATCACAAAAATTTTAAACAAAATTTCTTAAATTTGCAAAAAATATGAAATAAAAAAATATAAGATTTGGGTTCGTCGCTATTCTGTAGTTCTGTAGTATGCTATGTATGTGTATGCTGAAGAAATATCTTTCGCATGAAAATATGCCAGAAAAAGACTGTGATCAAATACATTTTAGAATAGATGACAACTAATGTCTGTATATTTATCATTCATTTTTGGAAGGAATGTATAAACTGTCTTTTCTTCTAGTGCATTATCCTAATCATGTTGTTTTTTTTACCATGGCTTTCTGCATTAGTTGGATTTTAGATAAGAATAAGGCCATAATACCATCAATAAATTCATCTGCTTGTTGAATCGTTGCTATTTTTACTAACTAAATAGCTTTTTCATTGTCACTGTGGCCCTTGTCCCATGAGATTTCAGTTTTCATGTAATGAGTTTGATATTATGTTTGACTTCATTTACATCAGATTGCACTCATCAGATTTAATTGCTAGCAGAGGTGATGGAAATATGCAGCCATCACTAGGCTAACGTATTCCAATTTGTTATATTGCTACTCATTGTCTCAATATAGATTATAGCAGTGAATTATTAAAACCACAAATTAAGAAGTAGGTTTTATGGTCTGAATATATGAGAAAAAGTACTTTTAAAACTATCTATGCTATAACGTTCTTTTAATTTTTATAAATAAATCAGTTGTATCCGAATTCTACCCCTTCCCAAAATGGATTTAAATTAACTGCATTAATAAAATAGGTTTTAGGGTTCATGAGCCAATTATTTTTTCTGCTAAAAATGTTATGAACAAAAGCATCTCAGAAAAAATAAAACAAAAGGAAGCATAACAAAACATTACAAGAAAATAAAAAAAATCAAAGATGAAAATTTTTTATTTTGAAGTGAAAACATATACAAAACTTTGTGTTTGAAAGAGGGTGATTAAGCATTTTCAAAATGCTATCATTGCTTTGTCCTTAATCTTTATATATTATATGTTGATCAGCTTTGTTCTTTAGTTTAGTGTTTTCTGTAATAATGTATTACATTTACAAAGTATTGTCATTGTGCCTTTCCCCCCCCCTTCTTCTGGTAAAGGAAATGATGACTAGTAAAATAAGTATTCTTGCCTCATGTTCTACATAATAATTTTGTTTGTAATTCATTGGTATCTCTGTGCTACTGTTATTTTTATACAATATTCAGAATTTGCATACTTTACAAAAACGTTTTCCCCTAGTGCTCAGGGTGTATGTTGACAAACGAATAACCTTGGGAGAGGTGAAAAAAGAACTTGAACCTCATATTGGTGTCGGAGCTGATTGTTTCAAGGTAATTAGTCATTTGTTTATTATTTTTACATTAATTAACTCTCTGAGGTGGCATGACAGCCTTTATAGTTATGAGATTTTGTCTCTTGCTATGTATTAGATTATAATTTAAAATATTTTGCTTTCTTACTTTCTTTAAAAATATAAATATCATCTTAATGAATGGAAATTATTTATAAAAACAGTATAAAATAAATAGTATAAAAATTTTGCTAGTAGAAGTTTAAATACGGGTTTTCCTGAACATATGCCATGCCAGTCAGAGACTTGCGAAAAAAAGCCATTCAAAAAGTAAAAAAGCCGAGGCTTTTAAAAAACTGAGCCACTCAGTTGGTTAATCATTTTAAATTGCTAATCTGAATAATTTTCTGATACCAAATTTACAAATAATATGTAACTATAGTTCCAAATTTAAAAAAAAAAAAAAAAAAAAAAATTTTTTTTTAATGTGCAAGATTCTTATTAGAACTTCAGAATTTCATTAACATTAAAATTTATCAGTTATTTTACTGTAAAAGCATATCATAATAATATGAATTTAAATTATATATAAATACGGTTTACATTTGAAAACTGCATTTATATGAGCAATTATTATTATTATGGTATACTGGTGATGTTAACGTATTTTTTAGTAGATGGTTAAGTATGCTTATAACATAGGTTTTTTTTATTTTTAATTCTGTTGCTTGTTATATTTTGTAAATATATACACTTATATTAATACAAAATTTGAGTTTTGTTTTATTATCCCGATTAGATTTATCGAGTTTATTCAAATAATCAAGAATTTGAATACACAAGGCTAACTGATAACCTTATGTCATATGGTGATGACAGCAGGGTAAGAAAATGATATATTTCATATTTTTGGCTGTTAACTAATTGTTAAAACTTTTAATTGAAAAGTTGTCTAATTAACTATTCAGTATTTTAAAATAGTAATGCTAATTCCAGAGCTGTGCCTACATATTTTTTCACCTGAGGCAAAGCGATAAATGTGCACCCCTGTATACAATGCATTATTTACCTATTTGGGGGACGAAAAATAAATAAATAATACTAAATGTTGTTTGAAAACATAGTATTATGCAGTACATAATTTAAAAGTTTTGGATTTTACATTTATTAAATTCTTTGTTGCATTTATTAGATTATTTGAAATTTATTAATTATGAATTTCAAAAATTTTCATCTTTGTGAAACATTAGTTGTAAATTTCTTACTTTGTGTCTTTAATATAGATATATGCATTACTGCATATATATATATATACATATTGAACAAATTAACTACATTCAGATATATTTTGTGCTCATTAAAAGTAACTATTTCGAGTAAAAATACAATAACTCATACTGTAATATTTAACTATAACTTTTTGTTCCACAAAGTGAAACATATATAATGATTAACAATTTAGAAATGGAAAACATTAAAAATATGCTTTTTGAAAAATGGAAAATAATATTAAGTATAAATCTGCTCAAAAAGTTATGGCATAAACTTTTGAAGCATATTTATTATTTAATTTTTCTTGCATTTAAAGAAGCAAAATCATCAATAATTTTCTCAAAATCTGTTTGATCACTTAACTCATGTTTAATAGAGAGAACGGCCACGTTTGAAAGTTTTTCTTGGCCTAGTGAAGATCTCTTGCCACTAGCTGTAGTAACTGGCAATGTTAAAAAAATTCTTAACGCTGCTTCCAAATTCGCATAGGACCGAATAAAATATAATCGGAAATTATTTTTGAAAGTTGTAAGCTTTTAGCTTTTGTGTCCTTAATGATTGAAATAGCATTTTTTTTTTTTTTTTCCTCCCCTCCAAACTAGGTATTTCTGGCTGAATTTCTTCAGCGTTCGTATCATTTGGATATTTAAGTGCTAAGTTCTAAGCTGCTGCCTTTAAATTACTTAAATCTAATGACATTAATTGTTCACCTGTTAGAAACTGAAAATCGAAAGAGACTTCATTTATTTTTTCATATCTCCATTTCAATTGGGAAATTAAAACGTCGAACATTTCTTCAATTTCTGTAAAAATATATTTTTCTGAAAAACTGCAATTTATATCAATTGATTCCTCACAAATTATTTATTAACTTTTCGTTTTCATTTTTCTTCAAATTTTGATGATATATTCATCCCTAAAGCTGAAGTTTTACATTTTTCAAAAATACATTTAGAAATATTTTCTCTCATTTCCTATAATGAAAGATGTAGTTCCTCTATTAAGTGTGCCGGCTTTATAGACAGCTATAATTTTTGCCTGCAAGGCTTTATTTACTTTTTCGATTTCTTGCAATATTAAATTTCACGCAGATAACAAACATAAAAATTTAAAATTGATTTGTTTCAAAATGCTGTTACTTTGCAAAGATTTGGGATTTAATGCCATATCTTTCAATAATCTATGTACTTCTGTTATTTGTAGATCTAATTCTTTAACAGCGTTTGCCCTTGATGACCATCGTATATTTGTATGACCTTTTAATGTTGTTTTCAAAACGGACATAAGTGCATGCCATCTACTCATTGAAGATACAAAAAAATTATAAATCTTCTGTACAGTGCCAAAAAATATTAACATACTTGAATTTGTTAAAGTAAGTTGATTTGTTGGGAAGGGGGAGGGAATGCAAAAAAGAAAACCTGAAAGATTTCAGATTTTAAATTACGTCCAAAAGGGCATTTTTTTAATGTTTTCTGTGTTACATTTATTTATTAAATATCATTTTTTTCGCACTTTTATAAATGTTTATATTATATATATATATATATTTGCTATACTTAAACCATAAAATTCAGTTCAAGAGCAATATCGCAAAATAATTTTAAATTGAGCATATCTTCTGAATTTCCGATATACAGTCTCATGGGCTGGAGATAAAAATTTCTTTTCTGTACAACATTGCCATTGCTCGCTTTGAAATCCTTGAGTTTGTTAATCAAAAATTCGTTAGTTTTACAAAATATAAAATCTATAATAAAACAAATTCGAAATTTCAAATTTGGCCTTCCAGATGTCCATATTCACAGTAGGATTACATCATTCAAAATTTGACGGCTGTAGGTACCGTTGTTGTATCACAATGCATGAAACATACATACATTTATGCAACATTTTTATTGGGTGGCAATAGTTTGAAAAGTGAAACGGACATTCAGAGTGATTCAACGCAAAATCGCAAAACAAAAACTATAGTTTTTCAGGGACAAAGCCCCTTTGGACTAAAAAGAAAGGAAAAAAACTGCAATAACTAATGATATGGTATGTTTAATTTTCAATCACCCTTATTTATTCTTCGTATGCTATTCAATTTTATGACATTGCAAAACTCAGCAGTTATGTCGCAGTGTATGTTCAGGTTCAGTTAATGACTTTGGCAAGTTTGTTGTGGCTAAGTAAAGAGCTTAAGTCAAACTTAAAGCTACTTTCAATAACAAATTTTAATATTAAAAAAATACTGTATACATTACCGGGAAAGCTCATGTCTTTTGAGAATAAAGTAATGCTATTAGTTTTTCTTTTCTTTTTTTAGCTGCATTGTTTTAGAACACAAAATTCTTTTAATATTCACTGTTGCATTTCGAAATTAAAAGGAAAAAATCATAAGTTTTAAAAATAGCTTTCTGAATTTTCTTAAAATTTAGCGGAAATTGAATTATTTCTGAATTTATAATTAAGCTAATTTGACACCCCTTCTATTTGTTCACCTGAGGCAAATGCCTCGCCTGTCCTATCCTCTTCCCTTCCCTGGCTAATTCTGCAATTTTAGTATAGGAATTTTTGAAATTTCCAATTATTTAGTTTAATAATTTCATGACAGTAAGTGATGAATATACTTATAGTTATAGCACTAGTGTTTGGAATTGCTATATTACCATTGCATAGGTTCCATCTCTCCATGTTTTATCGATAGTTTTTTTTTTTTTTTTTTTTTTTTTTTTTTTTTTTTTTTTTATCACATCTCTTTCAGTAGATCACTGAATCTCTTGGTTTTTAATGCTTGGCCTTTACAAAAACAAAATACATTTTAGCGCTAAAGGAAATTCATTGAAATAACGAATCTAAAATTAAGCAAATTTCATTCTCCCATATCTAATGATTTTCAGAAAAATTCTTATTGTTAAATTTTATTTTGTCTGAATTATATTTTCTTATTACATTTTATTGGTTTTTGTTTTATTAAATATCGTTTGATCTGAGTTGTCTTAATCTACAGTGGACATTTATAGATTTTTGTATGAAGGTTCAAGCAATGTTTAAATAGTTAATATTGGTATTTAATTTTGTTGTTTATGTCATTCTATTAAGTATATCTGCATAAATACTGTATATGTTGATTATTAATTTTATTTTCACCATATTTTAAAGTACTTTGATAAATGAAAGTTTCTATTGATTATGTGGGATTTTTGTAGTATAAAAGTATAAAAAAAATCTAAAAATGAAATGAGCCAAAGAACATTAGATTTTAGAATATCCAATTAAATATTCATATGATTTACATCAAAATTGAAAGTGTAAATAGTTGATATAGAAGAATTAAAGTCAGTTTGAAGTTCTTTCAAGTGGTGCCGCTATGCATTGCGAAAACCTCCCAGTTTTTGAGATTTCAAGGTTGGCAGCTATACCATTGTTTATAATTAGAGTCAAATAGCCCAAAAGTGTTTTTAATTTGTTTTTGATATGTATAATGTCATTGGGTAACAGCATGAGAATCAGTTAAATTAATGAAAAATATATTTTAGCTGTATGAAAACTCTCTAATGTAACTATATATTTGTTCGTAATACGATTTATGAATAAAGTAATATTTCAAATAGTTTGTACTATTTCTGATGAATTCTTATGCTAAAAACTGCTCTTATGAGTTGTAATAGTATTACATATTGTATTGTAATAAGAAATCACATTCATGATAAGGATTATGGGCCAAGTCTGGAAATCACGCAGCAAGCTTGTTATACCTTCTGTGAGCCAAACGCAAGAATCACAAATGAAATTCACGGAAGAAACATCTCTTTGTGCATATTGCAAGTGACTCATTGGAACACACATGGCTAAATCGTGTGGCGAACTAAATTACAATTCTGTAATAATAGTGTACTTAAGTAATTAGTCTTAATTATTTAATTTGAATGTTACAAAGCTTCTTGTTCTTTAGGTTCTTTGTTTTCAGTTACTTAAAGTAACCTTGATGTTTTTGCATAGTGTTTTGGTACATATTCTTAATAAATATTCTTATGTTGTAAAAATAAATAAACAGCTTCTGAGATGTTTCATTCAATATCTGACAAAAGTTTTTGTTTTTATCATGAAGTATTATTATGGGGAAAATACTATTAAATGGTTTCCTTTGAAAAATTTTTATGCAGGGTATTTTTATTAAAAATTTCTTGTATCATTTGATATATATTTTACTTGCAGTTGACAGTGAAACTTGGAAGGGCTCTTCGTAAAGGGGAGTACAAAGTGAAGATATACCAGCTGTGTGTAAATGAGCCAGAAGTATGTGTTAAGGGTTTTTGAATATTTGTTTTCTACAACTACATTATGTATTTGTGCATATATGTGTTTTTGTGTAAAAAAAGAAACAGATACTACTTAGTTCTGAAATTATTTCATGCAATACAAGAATATATAATACTGCAAGATCTACATATCTGAAAATCCCAAAATAAAAAATTGCAGTCATCTTGCACTCTTTTGTTAATCCAGCGATGACAAACAGTTATGTTCAAGTAATATGTTGAATAAATTTGAATATGGGAGCATAATATTTCCTTTTTATCCATGTTAGATAGCAAGTAACAGTTTTGTATTGCAAGAATTTTGATTTATCTAAAGGCAAACAATAAAGTTTCTACCTCTTAGATAGAAATTTATGAATGTATAATTCCCAGGTGTCCCTCAGGAATTCTAACTTGGAAATAATGCCATCCAGCCAGACCCTATCAAAAGGTTTGGTTATATGAAGGAATAATCAGGTAAAGAATTTTTTCTTTCACTGCAGGACTGTTGCGATGATTTCCACTATTTTGCACAGTTGACCAGTTAGTGGTAATTTTCTTCTGAAGCCAAAATGATGAGGAATCAAGATATTTACATCAATAAATGTATTTAGTCTATTGAGGATTGCTACTATTGGTAATCTTTCTGGCTGAAGTAGATGGTCTCTGTGATCAATTTCGTTGCACAATTGCCAAATTGAGATGGACAGTGCATAAAGCTATCTGAGGATTAAGTCAACATGCAAAAATTGGCCCAATAAGCAAGCTTGCTCTTAAAGTACTACATGAGTACTATTTAGATATTTGAAATATATTTGAAGAAAGAAGCAGTAGTAGACCTTAGCAAATTGACAGCAGCACAGTGAGAGAAGAAATATGTCCAAGTTGAAAGGTTTGAGATATAATGATTTAGTTCACCTTTATCCCTATTGATTAATTTTAAGTTTAAGAGTCCCGAGTTTGGAATTATTATTGGTTGAACAGCACAAACAGCAGTGTCTACAGCACAAATATTATCTAAGTATAAAACGAGAGATTAAATTTAAAATTTAAGTTTAAAGCAATTTAATATTCGCAAGTTATTATTTTTAGGTGTCCAAATTAAAATAGAGTTAAGGAAATACTGCAAATTATACGTAAAATTTTTATATATATTTTTTTTAATCTTACATATATATGAAATTCTGAAATGAAGGTGGAACTATGATAAATGTGATGTGAGATGTTTAGTTGACCCATTTTTCAGAAGCCATGTTGCAAATTTCCATGCAAAATACTGTTTACCCTTGCTTAGGGATCTGCAGTCTCCAAGATGGTTATTTGATGATTCTCTTTCATAGAGAATTCACTGCATCTTCAGATATGACTAAATGTATTTGACCTAATCATAGCATGTTAGATGTACTCCCAGATCCATGATTAAAATCCTTGCCACTGGGAAAATTATACAGCATGACATACATGCAGGCCTATACACATTTATCATCGGACTCTTAATGTTTGGTTCCACTAACACCTACAGCCAACAAAAATAGAATTACAGGTCACTTAGCCTGTTTAGAGGAATCTTTGGCAGAATGTTACTTCTCGTGTCACTTCTGTTTCACTCCGTGACTCTGCTACTAATCACTTTAAACTGAATTCCTTCTGACATACACAGCTATTTAATGGAGAAATCTGGATGTCTTACTACACAGAATAACTTAGCTAGAACTTCTTTAATCCCACTTTCATTTGACACTTCTTATATATTTACCTGAAGTTGAAGTGTATATGTATACATAGTATGTATTTGTTTGTATTTATATAGTTTTTAAAAATTTTTATTCTTTCACCCGCCAAGCCTTTTAAATATCTAATTGACTGGGTTCTGATGAAAGGGATGACTGTCTTGAAAGCCAAGAAAGAAATTCTTCCAGAAATTAAAGAAAGATGTGGTCTAAATATTCCTTTAAATAGGTAAGTTTGCTTCTAAATGAAGCAAAAGTTTTATGTTAACTACTATTGTTTTAAGTTTTAAAATAAATATTATGCTGTTGTGAAATACATTTTAAATTTTATCCAAAATGTAAGAAAAAAATAACATTCATCATGTTTCTTTGACTCGTGTAAAAATTACTATTTTTAAAAAATAAAGCTTGTTTAAATTCTCTTTTTGTAACAGATTTTTCCTATATGAAGTTCTAATGATATCTAATATACAAATATGCTACCTGTAGCTGAAGCAAGGTGCAAATATGTATGCTTTTTCATCACCTAGCCCCCCATGCGTAACATACCATTGAGTTTGAAACACATCTCTGCACATTGTCACACATCATGTCTAGCAAGGTTTGTTGGATAGCATGCTGAATAGAATCGCACAAATCAGCTAAGGTTGCAGGTTGTGTTACATAGACTTTTTGTTTTAAATATTACCATAAAAAGAAATCACATGTTGACAAATATGGCAAGCATTGATGGCCATACATCATCATTATGAGAGAAGATAATTTATGGGAGCATTCTCTTCATGGTTGCATTAACTGTGTATGATGCAGCTCCATCTTAAACCAAATTTAAGGCGATACCTTCTCAGTTGTAGCATTAAAAAATTGTCCAATATGGACGCATATTGGCAGATATAGCATTCACAGTGTGTCCATCTTAGGAAAAGTATGGCTCAATAATTCCATTTCAGTAGACAACACACTGTTGTTTTTCGGACTATGAAGGGGCACCTTATGAATCAGACATGAGTTTTCAGGTGCCCAGTGATAACAGTTGTGCTTATTCCATTGATGTAGAAATGTGCCATTGACATAATTTATGCCGAAAGTTTGGGTCCTCTTTTGTTAGTTCCATTAACCTGCAGCAAAATATAATTTGTGCATTGTAATCTTCGTGATGTAACTGGTGACCGAATTGCAGTTTGTATGAATGAACGTATAAGTCTTAGTGTAATATCTTTCATACTTCTATCTGACTTATCTATTGACTAAGCATGGCAAAATGCAGAATGCCTGGGACTTCTTAGCTTTGCCTCTTGCATCCTGTCTATATTTGCGTGTGTGTGCACAGAATGGGGGCGACCTGGTGATTTCTTTACCAATGGCTGAAACAGTGGTTGGAAAATTCATCATTGAATACGGAATAGTTTTGTCATGTCAGCACTTTCATAAGTGACACTTGAACTTACATTGTGTCATTGTCAGAGTCCTTAGTTTTGAAAAACATTCATTAGTAAATGCGCAGTGTTCATTAGACCAACACTCCATGGCCACTGGCAAGCTGTGAAAGAAATTTCAGATGACAGCACATAACACATTTTTCCAATGACTCGCACTGCATGCCTACTAAAGCCTTTGAGCAAAGCAAGAAACAACTTGTTAGCTATTGTAATATGCCTATTGGGATGTATTTGTCCTACTAAGTTTAAATCTTACTTTTTCTTCTGCACCTTTTATGTGATTAAGACTGTTGTTAGAAAAAATGAAATCTTTGTCTGCTATTCCATTTAGGATCAATGTACTTAGTAAAATACCAGGTAAGTCAAAATAAATATAGCGATTAGAAATTGATATAACTATTTATTGAAAATGAATTGATCTTTAAGATTAACACATAATATAGAGGGAACTTCAAAATTTTGTATATGTACATCATAGATGTTCTATGTGACTTCCCTTGGTCACATGGACAACATCTAGGCGGTGGTCCATTTCACGCCATACATTCTGAAGCATTTGTTCAGTCACCGACACAAGCGCATTACAAATGCGTACTTTGAGTTCTTCAGTTGTTTTGGGCATGGGAGGCCCAAACACCCTGTCTTTCACATAACCCATAGGAAAAAATCACGAGGTGTCAAGTTCGGAGGTATCGGTGGCCAAGAGTAAAAGACATCTTTGGCAGCTCCACTTTGACCAATCCAATGCTTTGGAAGATGTTGATTTAAAAATGTGCGAACCTTCGTACTCCAGTGCGTGGGGTGTTCCATCCATATTTACTGAAAGATGTAATTAGTGGAATCAGAGTCTAACTATGTCATTAACCATACCTCAAGCATGTCTAGGTAAACATTTGATGTCACATACTCACTGAAGGAAAAAAGGACCATACAATTTACATGATGAAATCGCGCAGAACACATTAACTTTCGCTGAGTCATGTTCGGTTACAGTGGAAGGCTTCTCCATACCCCATATTCGACTGTTATTCCCACTTATGTGGAATGTTGATTCATTGCTAATAATGAGACGATCAGCCATTGTTTCATCCTCCATGCTTTCCAGCATAAATGTAGCATAATTCATACATTTGCCATAGTCTTCCTGTTTCAAATGCTGCATAAGTTGAATGATGCACAGTTTCATTCGCAGCCTCTTTCTGAGAACATGTCATAGCGTTTTTTGTGGCATTTGTAACTCCCTGCTGCCTTTGTACATTGATTTCCGTGAGCTTCGCTCGTATGTGCGGCAAATTCTTTTTATGTTATCTGCTGAAACACATGGCTTTCCGCTACTTCTCCCTTTGCATAGACATCCTGTTTCTTTAAACATCCGATGCCATCTGCGTATGTTTGGAGGTTCTTATTTGTAACGCTGACGAAATCTTCTCTGCACTGTTATAACAGAGTGACATTTTCAAGTTCTAAGACGCAGAATGCTTTCTGCATGGGACTTGCCATTTTAACTATGGGATGCCTGCAATGAACAGTTTTCTTGTCATTGCGAAGTTTCAACTTGCATGCGTAGCCTTCCGCTTCACTACACTTGGGCCTTACGTAAAGAAATTTTATAGTTCCGTCTACATTCTGTTTTACTCTTATCAATAACTTCTTTTCTATTAAATAGTTATAGCTATTTGTAACCACTATATTCATTTTGACTTACCCTGTATTAATAAAATGTAATTGTAAAATAATTTAAAAACTGTTAAAAATTTATTTTGATAAAAATTCATAAAACTGTTGTTTATTTAATGGATGTTTTTAAGAAATTCCACTATTTTTATTGTCTTTTATATATTTATCAATTATTATTTGCATGCATTGTTATTTGCATGCATGGTATGTTGCTTGAAGTATGCAACTGTATTTTTTCTAACAGTAGTAAAGAGCTACTGATAATTAAATGTGAATTGTTAAATCTCTCTTTTTGATCTTCGAAATAGGTGTCGTTTACGTAAGAAAAGTTGGAAAAATCCAGGTTCTGTATACCTCGACCACCAGCGATTTGAGAAAGACATTCCTATCAATACAAATTGGGAATTGTTTTTAGAAGTTCTACCAGGTATTTTATTTATCATAATCTGGACATATATTTATACAGTACAAATTCCGTAATCTATTAGTCCATTATCCGGAATGATCTATAATCCGGACCTCAAATCCACAAACTTTTTTTTTTGGTATGCTTTACGCATGTGCCTAATGCTTTTAAGGTGTAATGGACGGTATAAGCTAGGCTAAAATTATCTTTACTGATTCTAAGGTATTTCAGTTAATGTTGCAGATTGCACTGTTCCTTAATCTTCTAATTGGATCCGGCTTATTATTTTTTTGCAGACTAATAGAGCAATTTTATAAAAAATAAGCTTGGAACTTTCGAATTATGTCAAAAAGAGAGTTTCCAATTCTAGGAGCTGCCAAAGGATCTAGAAAGTGAAAGCATGCTTTCGATGTCCATCAAACAAAAAGTGGTAATTGGTGCCAAAATATGGATAAAGGCATATCCGTTCTCAAATTTATGCGAGGAGTATGACATTGGAAAGTCAACTGTATATGACATAAGCAAAAAGAAAAAGGAACTTCTTGAATTTTTTGTAGATTCCAACACCTTGCTTGCAATGAATAACAGAAAAGGGTTCGTTATGCTAAAAGTGACGATCATGACAAAGTGATGATTGAATGGGTCAGACAGCATCGCAGCAAGGGCATGCCATTGGCGTGTCCAATGCTAATGGCTCAAGCCAAAATATTTCATGAAGAAATTAACTTAAACACTGAATGTACATATTCGACAGGTTGGTTAACCAAATTTAAAAATCACCATGGTATAAGACAATTAAAAATTTCAGGTGAAATAGCTTCAGCTGATATGGAAGCTGCTGAACAATTTGCAGATGAATTCATTGAACTCATTACTAGTGAACAATTATCTCCAGAACAAATTTACAGCGCTGATGAAACTGGTGTTTTCTGCCAATATATACTGCAAAATACTTTGGCAACCTCTACAGAAAAGGCTCTAACTGGTGTCAAAGATTCCGAAGCGAGACTAACAATTTTAGCATGTGCAAATGCTGCAGGAACGCACAAGTGCAAACTTTTCGTAATCGGAAAACATGCATGACCTCGAGCATTTAAAGAAGTAACGATTTTCCCCGTTATATATGGCACAAATAAAAGAGCATGGGTGACACAAGCATTGATGAATGATTAGTTTGAAAATCATTTTATACCCGAGGCTTGGCAACGTTTGAATTCCGTTGGTTTACCTGATGACTCAAAAATAGTCCTGATTGTTCAGGGCATACTTCACTTAAAGTTTTAGTGAAAGATAATGCATCTGTATTCTTCCCTCCAAATTGTACATCTATCATTCATCCTATGGATATGGGAATAGTGCACGCGCTGAAATGCAAATATAAAATAGCATTTTAAAAGTCTGTATTAAATTTCTTGAACAATGGCAAGACTATTCAAGGCTTTTTGAAATTTTTTAGCATAAAATCTGCTGTGCGGAGTATCGCGATATTGTGGGAGGATGTGTCTCCAGATACGTTAAAAATGCTTGGCATAATTTATGGCCAGCTACCATATTTCATGGCGAAGACAATGAAGATAATAGCCATGAATTTGAAGGTTTTGGGACATCGCAAAGTAAAGGTGAAATTTTCCAGTTATTGGATTTTGTAAAGAAATGTGGAGAAGCGGTAATAAATAAAGATGATATAACAGACGTTTTTCATTGCGACGACAATGCCCCAATCATCAATGAATTAACGGATGGCAAAATCTGTAGTATGGTTCTAGATCCAGAAAATACCATTTCCAATAGTGAAGAAAGTGACAGAGAGGTTATAGAAAACGAAAAAATTTTGCTTGACAAGTTAGTCGGTATTCTCGACACAGCAATTACAGGACTTGAAACAGTGGAACTTTGTAACTGAACAAGAAATTATGTATGTCTATAGAATTGAAAAGAAGGTAATAGTGCAAAATATGAAGCAACTGAAACAATTTACATTCAAAGGATTATTTAATAAAATGTAACTGAATAAGAAATTATGTCTGTTTATAGAATTAAAGCGAAAGTATTAGCACAAAAAATGAAGCAACTTAAACAACTTGCATTGAAAAAAATGTTTAATAAAGTAAACAAATAAATATTAAGCTTTTTTTGGTAAATTTTAATACCCTTTAGATCATAATTGCTCTTTATTTCATAAATTATGGTTTCATATTTTTAATTATATATTTTCTGCATGCCATCTTACCAGATTTAAATTGATGATCTATAATCCGGAATCGGCGAAGTCCCAACGAGTCTGGATTACGGACTTTGTACTGTATCTATAAAAATCTGTATTGAAATATTGTATAATTTTATCAAAAATATGTTAAAATATTAAATGTAATTTGACAGATGCTGAACCAGTAATGTCTCCAAAGCAAATAGCTTTGTTTACAAGAATGTGGCACCCTAGTACATATCAGTTAGATCCTTTTAAAGAAATTGTGCTAGATGATGGTAAAGTAGACACACTGAAGAAAAAGGTAAGTTTGGATTTGGGGCATTATTTAAAAATATTTTTATACATTATACTGTCTACATCCTGGGTTCTCAAAATATGAATCTTGAAGAAGGACAGGACAATTTTTACATAAATGTTTTAAATGTTCAAAATGAGTGTAAAGTGGCACCCTTTTCAGTATATATATTGGTAGAGGATGGTACAGATTTATCTGGTACAAAATTTAAAAAGTGTGAGAACTCTTTCTGTGGGAGGTTGCATTAAAATTGAGAATCTAGGAAACATTTTGTAATGCTTTTGTGAATAATTTGATGACTTGAATCCCCACCATGTGTAAATAGTTTAATATACTGCTTTTGGTTTATCGTAGATAGAAAATGCCTTAAGATTTTTATGGCATTTGCAACAAGAAAAGATATATTTATTATTGAAAATTAAGAGGGGGGAGGGAATGTACAAACATGCTTCCATCAGTGCAAAGAAGCATTCATTAATTTGTTTGATTGTCACAGGATTCTCTTACGGTGGGAAATTAAAAATAAGAAGAGTGGAAAAAAAATGTTTAAATCATTTCGATGTTCTACCAGAAGAAAGTTTTATGTCTAAGTTTTACAAAAGAAATCCTATTTGTTTATCTGAGTGATTCTGAAAGAGTGAAACTTCATGAAGACAAAGCAACAAGCATTACTTCCAAAAGTACCATTGTATTCCTTGATGAAATGAAGATTGGTACTTGTATTGTATCAACATATTCCTGTAAAATTCTGTGACGTTCATCTGTAAATCTCTTAAAAAGAGCTCTTTCTAAGCACAATCCCACCATGTTTGATAGACTCTGGAAGGTAATAGAAGAAGAAAGTAAATCAGTGCCCCTGGGAATTTTACAAAATGTGTCCTTTTATCGTGGATGATGCAGACATGCAACTCAGAAAAAGTCCGTCTGATTAAACATTTAAAAAAATAGTCTTTTTATTTTCAACATTAGTTAAAAAGCCCTGAAATCATTCTGAAAATGTGTAAGCACCGTCTGTAGTTTATGCAGCAGAGGATAAAAGAGCAAGGATGCCATTTCTTTACCCAGAAGATACATCAAGGGCTGAACCAGGGCATTCAACACACTAAGAGGACAGTGCTCTATCATGTGTAAGTATGTATAGAAGAAGACAGTCAAGAAATTTGAAAGTGACCAGCCAGTTGTTGCTGAAAGATGCTCCTCCACCACTAATCAGAAGATTCAGGAAACTCGAGAGATGGTACTAGCAAAATGTCAAGTTACTGTTGATATGGTAGCATAATTTCAGAAGATGAACCACAGTTCTACATATCAAATAATTGCCGGAAAATTTTGCTTTCTTAAAAGAGACTGTTGAAACTATTAACCATTTGGATTTTAAGATGCTAAGCAATCCAGAACTCGACCATTCTCCAACTATTATATTTCTAGGCAGCTCAAGGATGTTTTAAGAGGTTATTTATTGTTAAAGAAGTGTGCTAAGCTGTTCATAAATGGTTTTGCAACTAAATGAAATATCTTCCTAGAGGGAGTTGGCAAGTTTGGGGACCATTGGACCAAGTAAAGGAAGAGTTATGTAGGAAAAATGATGTATATTTTCAATCTCTACTACTTTTGTGTAAACATTGGGGGAGGATGGAAAAACAAGGTTATGAATAAATTTTGACCTTCCCCATAATGTTGAATAATAATGATAAATAAAATTTTTGCTCAGAAAAGTATGAAAGAGAATGAAAGATTTCAAGAAAATTTATCTGATGAAAATAGGTTAGAGTAATAGTGTTATTGTTCATAAAAATTATCATTTGAATACATTATAAATTAAATATATTTTATATGTTAATTAAAATACAATAGATTAAAATAACATGAGTGCTGAGTTTGCAAGAACACAATATTTATTTGAATGATAGCTGTCAAGTTATAGCACTAAAAGTGTAATGAAAAACATATAACCTGCATTTTTCTAACCAGTCAAATTCTGGTTACTGCAAATTTTATACAGCATGAAATCTATGTGAATATTTTAATAAAGCAAGCATATTTTAAAATAAATTTTTTATACATTTCATTCTTCATGTTTTTCATAAGTTTAATTTTTTTACAGCTATCTGAAATCAGTGGTGTTCCTGAAGAATTTGTAGAATTTGCAAAGGTATGCAAATGTAACATTTTGTCATATTTTCTTTTAATTTGAATGTTATGTTATACTTGAATTTATTGACTGCAAGCAGTTTTGTGTTCTTAACTTAAATTACTCTTTATTCATGGATAAACACTCTGCTGGTAGTAGCATTTTTGTGCGGGTAGCAATCTCCACCCGAATCTATGATTTTCTGCAGACATTTTGATAGTTTTTCAAAGTCTTCGGCCCAGACACTTGGTGGCCACAAGTCCAAAAACAGATCCTCATTTTGGAGGTTCCGTGCAGAATGGGAGATAGCATCAGCAAGATGTAGCTGCATGTGTGAAAAAAGGTAGAAGTCCGAAGGAGCGATATTGGAGCTATATGGTGGGTGTGACATATGGTAAAAAATCCCATTTGAGTCTGTACAGAGACCAGCCAGTAAATGCAGACACATGTGGCCTTGTATTATCTTGATGGAACGTTACCTTTTTGTGCTGGAACTCAGTTTGATATTTTTCCGTGATAGCATTGTCAACACGGACTAGCATCTCGTTATACACCTTGCTGTCAAGGGATTTACCTTCTTCCAGATACTCTTTGTGGATAATACTATGGCAATGCCGCTAGATACAAAGCATGATCATTTTGTTAGTCAAATTACACTTTGTTACACTGCGGACAGGCTCACCGGATGCAGATCAACCCTTTTTTCGGCCTGTGTTGTTGAAGTAAATTCACTTTTCATCACAAGTTACGATCCTGTCCAGAATTTTTTCATTGCATATTCAAGCAATTAGTGCTGGCCTGAGCAAATTTGTCATTATCTGCTTGAGGCAGCTAATGTATCACCCAGCAATAGAACTTGTACATCAAGCTTATGCGATGCATAGCACGACGAATGGACATGACACTAATGTCCAACTACTTAGGAAGCTGTTGAGTAGTTGCCAGGGTTTGTACAGTCTTTAAGAATCCTTTTGGAATCAGTTTTTGGTTTTTAAAAGTCTTTAATTCCGGCCAAAATTGCAAGAAGGCCCTTAATTTTAATCATCTGAAATTCCTGTTTTGTTTTTACGACTTAATTTGGGTGTGAATTCACGTTTTAGAGGAATATTTTTGGCGATTCACGGACAAATATTATCTTTTGAATGGGCGAATGACTTATAATTTGTTCCTATTTCTAATATAAAGGATGGGATACTGTAGTTTCTGAGCAAGGAGTCAAACATAAGCATTTCAAAATTATTTCATTTTTTTCTTAATGAAGAGCTCTTGAACAACTTTTCTCTTTCGAAGATGTGAATTCCTTTATTAAACGGCTCAAAATTTGGTGACTTGTCAAAATTTTGCCGATTTTAAGATCAGTTTCTAAAGAAAATTTTTAATTCGAAGATCTAGGAATTTTTCAAGGATTTTTTTAAGAACATTATAACACTAATAAATTGAACTAAAATAATGGTAGTATATTTGAATTATGTTTAAGGAATAACATTAAAATAAAACATTTTTATTTTTTTACTGTCATGTTATAAAGTGACATTACTTTCCGTTTCGGTGACCTTATACAGTATTTTTAATCTGAAAAATAAACAAAGGTAATAAATACTATAAAGTGTAGTTTACAAAGCAATTCATAGCAAAAGCAAAATAGCAATGTAATTAATTAAAAATTTCTTCCTTTTAATTTTTTCATGGTAAGAATTTTTCCCATGTAATTATCTCAGAATATTCAGAATTTCCAGAATGTGCATCAGTTTACTCTATTAAATTAATTTTCCTCATTTTTCTACTGTTTTTTTTTTTTTCCCCAAAAAAAATATTTCTGTCCTTTTTTTTTTTTTTTTTTTTTTTTTTAATTTACAGAATTGGTAGGGCTAATTTTTCTTTAGTATTTTAGACATTGCAACTTGGGAAGTTTGGAAGGATTTAAAGACCCACAATTCTAGAAGGCTCCAGAAAAATGTGTCAAAAGGAAAAATGTCTTCATTGTATTAATACATAATGGATGTATTTTACAGAAATTTTGCAATGAATTTCTTACATTTTGGAGACTTTTTGGAAGGACAATGAAAACATAATGTTTGAGTGTTGTACTTCTGATACTAGAAGTCTTTTAACATTTTTATCTTCCCTTTGTTTTCTCAAATTTTCACTAGATATAATCATGGAAAATCTCAAAAATGCTTCTAAATCTCTTCGCATGGACAGGAAGAAAGAAACTGAATACATAAAGTGGAATAAAATTATTCTTTAAAGATATGTACAGTTATTATTATGAAAACCAACCAATTTATAATTTTAAGCCTTTACTATAACTTCCCCTTTCCATTTCCTCACCATAATGCACATCAGATAGTTTTTAAACCGAAATTTTTGGACTGTAAGAGTATTTTTGTCCTCCACTTAGATGCTGCCTTAGTTCCTGTCAGCTCTGATAATTTGTAATTATTCATCTTTGCACTATCTGCTAACATTTGAATTTGTTACTCTTTTAGAGTTACTGAGTCACCTTAGATAAAATTTTAATTACATAGTCCTTGACTACTAGCCTACATTTTAGTTTGAATTTGACTATTCCTGTTGAATTGCATCACCACAAGCTGTAGTTGATTTTGTCAACATAAGAACGTGCCTGTATGTTCTAAGTTCTTTTTAAATCTTTATGTGACTTTGCAGTTACATTTTGACATAGTGATAATTTGCTTCATATCTATCAGAGGTTTTGGATTATTTATCTTTTACCAGATCAAGTTAAACCTCGTTAGGTACACTGTTGAGAGATTGGCTAGTTAGGAGATAAAACACACAGAAACTAGTAAGAACATAGGTTTGTGTATTAAAACAGATTTCTAATTGTTAGAAAAGATATTTAAAGAGAAGAAAATTAATATAAATTAGCCAAAAGTCTAGGAAGGCTTCAAATTTAAAAAGACTCATAAATATTTTTTTTGTACCTTTTAAATGTGTAATTTATTCTAATACCATTTAAGAATCAATGTCATAAATTACATATATTTAAAAAAATAAAATTTAAAAATGGCCATGTAAATCTATAACGACTAAGGGTATTTAACTACCTAATTTAATTATTTATAAATAACTGCTCACCTTTAAAAGTTATCTCTGCATATTAAAGCAAGTTATTGACTTTCATAAATCATTACTGTGGCCACAAGATACATAAAAATTACTGCACGAAAATATAAAAATTACTGTAAAACTTATTCTTTGCATGTAATAAGACTAAAAATAATACAAAACAACTTTTTATCTCTGGTGCATTAGTGGCCTATTGCCATCTTAAAATATATTAACTGGGTTACAATCCCAGAAATTCTACATGAAGCTACAACACTAACTGCATGAGACAGACAGAGCACAACTAACTTTCAAAATTTGCCATACATGCATACATCAGGCTTTCAAGTTTGTTCTGATTAACTAGTCTCTCTCTAGGCAAGCAGCAACACTGGCAGTAGCTAATCTAGGTAGGGTTGTAGGGTAAGTAGGGTTGAACGAGAAAATGCTCAGGCACGGCAGTGTACCGACTGGTAAATGAATGCGTTTCTTGGTGGCACATATGTGTGACAGTTGGCAGGGAAGAATGAATGTTTTACATTTTGTGCTATGTTGTATTGTTTACCATAATTGGTAAACCAATACAACACAGCATTTCATGTCTTGGTTGCATTGGTATACCATTTACCATATTTATGTATTGTTTGTGAAAGACTATTTTAATTTTCATTTATCTCTATTTGTTTATTTATTTTTGAATCTCAATGCAGGGTCAAGGCACCTTCCCTTGTGAAACATCTTTATTATCAATTCATAAGGAGCTAGAATGGCAGACACAGACTCCTTCTTTGAATTGGCCCTTGTGCCAAAGTGATGATGGACATGTTATTTATTACAGGTGTATTTATTTTCTCTTCTGTATGAAGTTCAAAATATTAAAAGTTGAAGTGCATTTTAAACTTTTTTTGTGTACAAAAACTTGACAAATCGATTGTTATTTGTGTGTTAAAGGAATGTATGTGTTTCAGGGATAAACGAGAAGAGCTAAAAAAGTTATCAGAAGAAGAAAAGAGGGAAATCACAAACAAAGAAAATGCTCGGTAAGCATTTCATGTCTGTGTTGAAATAATTAAAGAAATGAAAATAATTTTTATTTTTTTATCTAAGTGGCTTGGATCTATATTTTTACTCTTAGTCTCATGTAATTAAATTTGTACAGGAATTGAATTTCATTAATTTTGACATACTTTTAGAATATTTTAATATGAAATCGGAGTGTTTGTACAAAAAGGGTTATATTTAAAATTTAAAATTAGGGGTGGTAAAACATATAATTATTTAGAATAATTGGTGTATTTGTCTATATTGAAGACACACTTTGTTTTGTCCTAGTTGTGAGAACATTGAAATCTGAGTATTTATCAGTTTAGGAAAGTTGTTTGAATCTTTAAATCAAATAGCACTCTCCTCTTTTTAAACATTTAGACACGGATTTAAAATTAATTCTCTTGTAAATTTTTAACCTAATTTATTTATTAGCATTCATACTTTTTCACTTAAGAACTGCAGAGAAATGCATTTTATATTTCTTTTGTAATTATGGATAAAATTAATGAATAATGGTAATTTGAGATCTAGGCCAAAAATTTAAAACTACAAAAGAGAATTTTGTGCATCTGTGCTACTCATAGAGGAGAAATTAATAAAGATTGTTGTCCCAATTTTACATAAAAATGAAGAATTTTATTTTTTGTTGTTGTCGAAAGATTTACATAAAAATAAAGAATTTTTCTCATTTAAATCATGTTAGTTATGATTTCTAAATTATTAACGTTAAGAAGGAATAATGTACAGTGCTCAGTTATCTAAATAAATAAATAAAGAATAGCTAAATGCCCATAATATAAGCTGTCAACCTTCTCACTTTTTTTAATTCACTTTCTTAATTTAGGTGTCTTAACAGCATTGAGTATAGATAATAACTATTGATATAGTGAAGAAGACTGAATTAAAATGAAGTGATTGAATATAGTAAATAGGTATTCTAAAATCAAAATGAATATCAATGAAAAACTGTGTTGACAATGCCCTCTGTCATGATAGAGCAGAAATATGGTGTAACTTCTGTCCTGTAAGAATTTAAATGGTAAAATATGTTTCTATTTAGAAAAATTTCTGTTGCTTGGAAAATAATAAAAGGAGAGGAAGCTTTAACAATTTTACACTTCTCCATGATATAGAGAAGAATGGTTCTAGAGTACATTGAAAAGGCTGTTTAGTATGCTTTTGAAAAATGGAATCAACCGTTGAGTTTTTAAAGATGAGATAAAACTTAAATTATCTTCAGTTGAATCACTGGGATTATGTTATCTTGAAGAAAAGGAAGTTGGAGATGAATTCAATTAAAAGGGTTTCACCTAAAGCTATTAAATATACAAACAATCTATACAAATTCAGATCAGTAAAATATCTCTTATGGCATCAAAATGTAAGCAGAAGTCTTTGAAATAAAATCATATAAACTGTGCAGTAGTTGAAAGGAAAAGATATATAAGGCTATATAAACTCATTTTTGTTGAACCTTATCCTAGTGCTGGAGAAGGTGAAGATTCTTTTGCAGGCAGAAGAACGCTATTGTTGCATAATCTATGTTTTGTCTGTTTGAGAAAGAATTGTTTTCAAAATTTGTTCTACCTGTGCTTTGAAGAAAGTCTTCCACTAAAGTGTTGCGTAATTCTTATAAATGGAAAGTTTGTTCCTAAGCTGTTGAACTTGAGATTTTTTTTTATTGCCATGAATTCCTATAATTTTCAACTATAAGACACATAATTTCCATTTCAAGAATGTTCCTCTTATCCATGTAATAATAGTAAGTTTCTTCCATCACATAGACCACATTTTCAAGTATCCATTATTTCACTGCATTCAGCGTAATTTTTTTGTTATCTGAGTTGCACTAATATACTGTCATTTATAGAGCTTTATTTTAAAATGCAACCAGTGTTTAATCAGTTAATATTTGTATTTAATTTTTTTTTTTTTTTTTTTTTTTTTTTTGCCATCAGTGTATGGCACATTACTAGACTGCCCGCCAAAGACTGAGCAATAATGTTACTGAATGTTGGTAATACAACCTGGGCTCAGATCTCAGCAAAAAAGGCTGGATGCATTGGTGTTTTTGTAGTTTTCCCCACATGTACTGTGGGTAGGTATGAGTCAAATTCCAGTAGAAAATACTTCACCGCTCCCCTTAGGCAGATAGTCCTAGTCCTCACGTGATTTGTTATAGTCAAACAAACCAAAAGCATTACTAAGGTTATTTGCACAATTATATGTACATTGATTATTAGTTGTATTTGCATCATATTTAAAGATACTTTGGTAAATAAAAGCTTTTCCTTTTTCCTACTCAGATTTTCTCAGTACAGAAGTCTAAGAAAATTCCAAAATTGAAGTAGCCAAAAAACAATTTAAAATATCTAATTAAATATAAATATATTTTGCACCAAAAGCCATAAATTTTTGAATAACCTAAATAATGCAATATAAAGCAAAATTTAAACCAGTTTAAGTTCTTTTTAAATGTTTTTACCTTGGAGCATGAAAGCCTCACCAAACTCCCCTCCTCTTTTTCATATTTCGTGGTTGGCAGTTGTAAGGTATGAATAGTTCAGTTATCCTGAATCGTATCTGAAAGTGAATATAAGTTTGTTAGTTTGCAGTTCTTTCAAAATTGTGTTGCTGCCTAATGCAAATGTTTTTTCGAATTTCTAGATGGCAGTTGTGCCATAGTATGTTTGCAGTAGTATTTAAAACATTTTGTAAGCCAATAACATAACTTTCTTTTTAGGTCTAACAAAAATCTCAAAACTAACTATTCTCCCAGGAAGGAGAAGGCGTTAAAAATATACACTCTTGACAGTGCGCCCAGTAGTTCTGTGACTCGAAATGCTACAAATCATAATTCTGCAATCAACACATCTCAAGGTTCACAGCATATAGTACCAGATTTGGACTAATATGCTAGTAAACTGCAGGTTTGTTTTATGTTACTGGATATTTCTTGTTAATATTCATTATTTCTACTTATAAAGCCATCTTTAGAATTCTAATTTAGTTTTAAACATTCTTCTATAAATTTAATATTTATTAAATGCATAATGTATAGAAAGCATTCATGTGAAGAATTCATTTAAAATGTTGTTAAGATCATCCTTTTATTTTGAAAAGTATGGGACTTTGAGTAATTTTTAAAATTGAGTAAAATTCAGTCCTAAGTTAAAGAAAAAACTTGATGCATCCCTCCCCGAAAAAAAATTGACAGCTGTGTCTCTTCTACAGAGATCAAGTATTCTGCAGTTTATGCTATGGTTCATAATTTAACTATAAAAGTTTTTATCTGTGAAATCGGCGAAGTGGATAAGCTGTCCTTTCTATTAATTTCTTTCATTTCAGTTCCCTTTTCCAAGCAAGACAGGATAGAAACGGATGTTTTATCCTTCCATTTTATGCAATAAATTGAATCATCGCTAACTGAAAAGTCTATATCCTCTTGACATAAATTTGTCTTTTAAATTTTTGGGTAGATACTTCCGATCCATATTTACAGCGCCACATGCATAGATGGGTCTGTGTCTTTAAAAAGCGAAACAAATTATAACTACTTCCCTTTCTTCTTCAGCAATAACTTCAACCTCAGTTATTCTCTCTTGGATTTCAATTTCATCTGAATCAGAACTGACATCTGAAGCATTTGAGTCGCAATCGGATGGCAATTCAGCAAAAAGATCCAAAGCTTCCTGAGTTGGTAATTTTTTCCTAGACATTTTAGCACATCAGAGCATACAACTAATGTAAAAGCGCGCGCAATCACGAAAAAAGTAGATGCAAAAAAAAAAGAAAAAAAATCGTGAGTGCTACTGCCATCTATTGAGCGGAAATTCAAGTGTGTTGGTGGGACAAATTTTAACCCACTTATTTCAACTGCAAAATTAATTGTATAAAATATTGAATACAATTAAGATTTTGAAAATAAAGTACTTTTGAATATTAAAAAAGTATCATACATATCATAAATTGTATATAAAAAATACCAAAATTTTAAAATATTGAAAAAATGCGAGATACAGGGATATCACTCTTGTGATCCTATTTGGAATATTTTTTTTGCTTATAAACTTAAGCCCTGGTATAGTAGTAAAATCTACTGAGAAAAATAATAACTAAAATAGATTATTTTTAAAAGCTTAGGAAATTTCTAACGGAAATTGCTAACTGAGAAAGTAAATATTAATTAGGTGGGACATATATTGACCCACCATGCCGCAAAGGGTTAAGATGAGGAGATCTGGCAGCCATTCCATGTGATGAATATTTTCACTTTTCAGGTAATTGTCAATCAACTGAGCCCTATATGGATGAGCTTTATCATACATTAACATGAAGCCAGAACCAACTGTACCTGTAAAAAGTCAAACGTGGAACTCCAAGATCACCTCTCTGTAATTCTTAGCAACCAGGAAGCCTTTATCAAACACGTGCAGAGGTGTGCAGCTATCCATTATAATGCCTGCCCAAGCTATTACATCTCCACTCCGTAATGATCCTTTTTCCTGATGAGGGAGGGATGGTATTGTGTTTTAGGCTTTCTCCAGATACAGGGACACTGATTACCAGTGTTCAGGTTGAAAAAAGCACAGTATTTCACTGAAATCTAGTCCAAGGTTCTTGTCCATGTTAAGTATGCTCTCTTGTATGCTGCAGTGAGCAAGCTGCAAACAGTGGGTCTTATGACATACAGCCCTATCTCATGAAGCCTTCAGGCATATGTAGACTATGAAACTTGAGTTCTGATGGCAGCATACAGTTCACATAAGAGTTGTGAAGCAGTAGCAGCCCTGTGTTGCCATGCTAAAAGTCCCAAACAATAATCCTGATTTGTCATCGTGGATCGTGGTCAACTTGTCCTTTTTTCCGTGGTATGGATTTAAAATTTTACCTCCTTGTACGAAGTAAAGGCTATACTCAAAGGTTCAGAAAGTTTAAATTTTTTATATAGGACTGCTATAGTATGTAGTTGTGCACCTTCCTTTTTGGTTGCAATTGGCTGCACCAAAAGTATATAAATATATGTAATATATGTGATAAAACTGCTTTATTATTGAAATAAGATGATTTGGTGCGAGTTGCAACGAATTGGCGGCAGTTCTGCATCATAACTTGATGACTTAGCAAGATGACACTCGAAGAACACCACACATAACGGTAAATTCCACACATAATTTTTTTCTTTCCGATAATGCACATTATCACTGTGGATGCGCTCTGCCCCCCCTCCGATTTTTTACAGCTCACATTTCTTAAAGAATGGACTAAACTTAGAAAAGTAAACTGAGAGCGGCAGTGCAAAGCAGCGACACAAAGCAAGAGAAAGAAGTGCGTCGCAGTTGACCTTTTTATACCGAATTCCATTTTTTATCAAGTGCCAATTTAATGTAGAGATGTTCTGACTTCATCGATTAGTGCCCAATACAGACTAAATAACGGATCTTTTTCATTTAGAAAATTTATTGCTATGTTATTTTTAGAATAAAGGCAGGAGTTAAAGGGCTATTAATTTGAAAGATGGATATTTTATAGTTTACATATCTACCGGTTGTGCGATATTGTTATGGCACAGCCGGTAGATACCTAAACTATAAAATAGACAGGATTGGGTTACGTCCTACTAACCTCAATGGAACATTTATTCCATTGAGTTGGATTTCTGTAAAATAGTATGTGCAAAAAGTAAAGTCACATAAAGTGTCTTCATTCATTTGCAAGTTCCCCATTCTATATTTGAAACTTAGCAGAATAGTGGATTTGTTGCCAATCTAGAGAAACTAAGCTTCATAACAACAAAAATAACGTTTTCTTTTATTATTGCAGGTAAAATCATGCTTAATCCATCCTGGAATTGATTTCTAAATTATTAAGTTATCCCATATATTGACTCAGCATAGCATCTACAACAAATTAAGTCAGTTTTGTGGACAGAAAAATCTGTCTTCTTGCCCACTCACTGTTGCTTGTATTTTGCATAGAAACTCTAATTTTAATTGTAAAAGTTGTTTTTTAAATTGTTTTAACTGTATTTGTTTCATATTTTCCTATATTTTTCAATTTTCAATAAAAATATATTAAATTTTTACGTATTTTTTTTTTGTCACAAAGTGAGAACTGAATTAATTGAATGAGAAATTTATCTTTAGTGAAAAGTGAAGAAATAAGTTTAAATTAAGTGCAGGAAAAAAATGTGTATAATTTAATATATTACGTACAAGGAAGTCATATGGTGTGTGCATCAGATTTTTTTAAACTGTTTTCACAAATTGCAGACAGCTCTAGGCATTACATCGAGCTCTGTAGCCACATGCGCTTGTGATTGGCCTTCCTCCAATCTACTGACCAATCTACATTTACAATGTATCTCATTCCATCATCCATATATTCGTGGCTGCTCATTTTACCCGATACCTAGTAAAACTTACCCAACAGTTTCGAAAAACTTGGCGAATGTTGCAAAAGAATACGAGCACAGAAAAAATGCCAAAAAATCATGCACTTGTATCCCATCCAAAGTCTGCAGCTCTGCAGACAGGCACATATACGCTTATGCATTTAGCTCTGAATATACTTTTGTAAAAATAAGCATGATGTGCAAATTCTTTTAATTTTGCACATAAGTGTATAAGCCATTAAACCAAGCCATTTGTGAATTAAAGAGAAAAAATAAAAGAGAAAAAAATAATACGAAGACGTTTAAACACATTTGGAAGGGTAGGATTGGCATTAAACTCATTAAATGTATAGAATATAAACTTAGATCTTAAATGTGAGTATTAATGTGATGCTTAAAATATGAGACAATTTCAAAAGTTATAAAAATTCAGCTTGTCAGATGTTTATACATAAAATACTGTGTCTTAAAGTATGCATATATACAAACATTCTTTTTACTTCCTTGTATGAAGTAAAAAGGAAGTATTGTAATGGCGAAATGTTTCAGGCAGCATATTTCAAAGAAAATATCCATTTTGACCACTATCGAATGCAATTCAATGATGTTTTTGCGGGATATTTGTATGTAAAGACAGAATAAAAGACTCTTTTCCTCCCAAAAAATTATAAAACTGCTTTAAAATGAATTCTGAAGAGAATTTTTCGTGGCGTCTGTACGAATGTATGTACGTACATACGTATCTCGCATAACTCAAAAACGAGTAGCCTTAGAATGTTGAAATTTTGTATATAGGACTGCTATAACTAATAGATGTGCACCTCGTATTTTGGTTGCTATCGGCCGCACCAAACGTATATAAATATATATATATCCAGTCTGTTACCCGGCTCATGATCTCAGTTTCTTTACTCTTATATGCTTGTAAATTGTACATTTTTTGCTTTAAAAATGATTGAATTATGTTGTTCTTATCTTCCGGTTAAGGTTTTTATGCCTTTAGTAAATCTGTATGCAATATTTTTAGAATTATCGAGAATTTTAAATTGTTTAAGAATTGTTTAAGTGCCGCTAAACCTAATAATTTTTTTGATCGCGGCCATTGCTTGTGGTCATTTGAAACAGCAGACTAGTGGATTTGTTGCCAATCTAGAGAAACTTAGCATCGCAACAACAAAGATAACGCCTTCATTTATTATTGCGAATTAAATCATGCTTAATCCTTTCTGGAATTTTTTCGAGGAAATAAGTGTTTAAGATTTACTTCGTAATTTTTAATGCATATATTTTGAGTTTTTATGTATTTTTGCCTTATCGCGAAGTGAGAACTGAATTAATTAAATGAGAAATACTCGATCGTCTGTAAAAACGTTTCATTTCATTTTTTTTTTTTTATTTTATTTTATTTATTTATTATTTATTTTGCTTAATTTCTTTTATACATTATTCCAGCTTTATTATAGTATTTTAATAGAACATGTGGCAACGATTAGCTAATTCTTTAAATGATATAAATTTTGTGCATTCTGAATTATAATATGAACGAAATATAATACTGTTAAGTGAATCTAGCTCCAGAGTGTCGCTATGGTAAACAAATAGAGTGAATTTTAAAGAGTGCATTTATTCTATTGGGGTTTATGCGCTGTCGTCGAAGTAGACTTAATTCAATCCAATAAGTTTAAATGAAATGCAAGAAAAAGTGTGTATAATTTAATATTCCATACAAGCAAGTCGTGTGGTGTACACATCTTTTTTTTTTTTTTTTTTTTTTGGATAAGGCCAAAAGGGCTCAACACAATTGTGCATTTCACTCTTGATTTGAATCTAGCCTTTTGATAAAATTTAAGGTATTATTTATCTTTCAAATTTAATCTCTCTTTTATTGATTAACAAACTAGCTATGTAAATGTAATAAATGCAGTTTTTAAGAATATTATTTTTACTTTTGAATGTGAATAAAAATGCATTTAAACGCAATATATCCAGTTGTTGATTATTTCTAGTGGATTACTTTATTTGCTTAATTGCTTTTCAAATGTATAGAAGATACATAATGTTCCCATGTTAATCTGAATGTATATTAATCTAATATTCTATGAAATATTGTGTTATTCCACTTGTGCCAGCCCACTAGCGGCCAAGCAGAAAGTCGCTGAACACCGGTATTTCGGCCCAAGGTTCGAGTTCTGCCAGTGCATGGGCGTTTTCGTGGTTTTCCCCATGCGTAACATATACACAAGACAGTTTTGCATAAAAAATTCTCCACAGAGGCATTCCTCCCCTCAGGCAGAGCCCTCAAGTGCTTTGCCGTAAGCATATAGGCTGAGTCTAGCTGTTAAACTATGAACCTTTTTAGACATTTTTTAAAAATGTATGTAACTTTAATTTTATTTATTTTTAACGGTTGGGAATTAAGTTATACTTCTGATGCCTCCCAAAGTTTAATAACATTTCTATAATTAAAGTTTAAGAAGTTTTTTTAATTTTTGTAAAAATTCTTTGTTTATGCTACCTATTTAAAGATTTTCTTAGATCCTTACCTAAAATTTATTTTTATGAAAAACCGAGGAAACTTTATATAGTTTGATCTATAAAGCTATCATATTTTCGCCCATGTAGTGTTTTAAAAAACAGGTGTCAAGCATATTGATGGTTGTATTTTGCAGTTATACATGTTCTTGAGTTTTTGAACAAATTCCTCTGAGTAGATTGATGGTAGATCTTTCACCCCTGATAATTGTTTCAATAATATTGTATTTGTTTCAATAAGTTATTTACCACATAAATCAGGAGTGTATTATAGATACAATGTTACCTATCTTTTATGTACATATGATGGCTCTTTTGGGGGGGGGATATTATTTTAAAATTTCTTATGTTTTGGCTGCAGAAAATCTTTTAGTTTGTCACGTATATTGTATGCTTAATGAAATTTAAGATTGAAATTTCTGTTTTAAGTTCTGATTATTTCTATTATTTTAGGTGATTTCAGGATGCTACTCATGTAATCATCTCACAAGAAAATAAAAGAACCATGTCCTATTCATTGTGGCAATATTTATTTTTATGTTCTGCCACAAATTTTTCATCTTAGTTTATTGCTTGCCTTTTTATGAAATATGAAGTTTCTTATGTCAGCATGAAGTAATATTCAATAATTGTACTGGCCTCTGGCCTTTTTTTTTTTTTTTTTAAATAAATGTCCATTTTTTTCCTCACTGTTTTCTTTTCTTTTTATTTACAATAAGCGTTAAAGAAAACATTGTGATTTTTAAGTGTGTGTAATTATAATTTGCTTGTATTGACATATTTAAAAAAATTATGTATGATTACTAATATATTTATTAAAAATGCTGTGCAGCAAATGCACTACATTATCTTTCTGTAAATATTGTTCTATTTTAAAAACGTGAGATTGGGCTTGAGACACTGATTACCTTAGCAGATTAAAAAAAAAAAGTATTTCTGAATGTATTGCAAAAATTCTTTTGACAATCTATGTATTACAAAAAGATAAATTGTTTTGGCATTTTTATGTACCATTCAGTCCTAGTAGTGTGCTGAAAAATTTTTTTTAGTTAGACTTTCTGCTGTTTTGTTCAGAATGTTAATAATATTTAATGGGGGGAGGGACTCTGTTTTTTGAAATCTCTACCCAGAAGTGATTTGTAGAAATTCATGCCACTTTTCTGATTTTTCTTCTTCCTGAACCAAATTTAAGTTGCAATATATAGAGAGAGAATGCTTTATATTTCTAATAATAATAGCAATTTCATTATTTGTAATTTTAACCTTTTACTTAATCTAATATGGCAAAAGTTAATTAGTTTTAATTGCTTGGTACTGCGTAAATTTTGTCAGCTGTGTTGCTAAATTTTTCTCTTAAAGATTATTCAGTTCTTGTTATGCTTAATTTATTTAAAATCTTATTTAAAATAAAAAATATTTTTGCTTTTGAAGTACAAATGCTTAAATCTGTCTTTTTGTGAACAGTAATTTCTTTTGAATATGTTGTTAAATCTTGTTATCCAATATGTGTTTGAATTATAAATCATGTTATTGTTCAGAATATCCTTCTTTGTAATTTTAGAAATGTGTTGGTTTTTGTAGCTGGCTCTACTAAAACTCTTATTATGTTTCATATTTTAAAGTTAGTTATTTCCTGATTTTCTTATTTAGATTATATTAAAATCTCTTCAGTTTAAGGAAAAATATTCATCAGTAGGTAATGAGACATTATTCATTCTGCTATCTTTATGTATATTAAAGCGCACACGTACATACAATTAGCTTTTGTTAAAAAATAAGTTAAAATTTTGTTTTAATAAAGATAGCTTTAAAAAATTAGAAACAAAGTATCAGTTGCTTTTGAAAGTTCTGTGATCAGATATGTCTAGCATTGTCAGGGGGAATTCTATATTGTATTTTCACTTGATTCACTTGCACATAATTCTTCATTCATTTCTCTAAAATTAGGAAAGATCTGCATTAGGATCATATTTACCTATCTGCAAGTTTTTAATATTATGGAAATGGGGGCAAAAGTATTTTAAATAGAATTTGCAGTATTCCCCCCCCCACCTATTTTGGGGCAGAAAAACATATAGAATAGTACATTTTACCATGAAATTTAACTACGTTGCAGGACCAATTTGAATCATAATTTAGAATTACTCTTCTGAGATTAATATTGGAAAATTATTAATCATTTAAATAATAATAAATTTACACATATATCCAAATTAAAAAATAATCAGTTTTATTTCATTTGAATGAAAAGTATCCCAGTATGAATTTTATGCATTATGAAGTTTAACTGAATGTATGTGTGTACAAAAATTGATTACTGTTTTAAAATAATTTTAGTACCTGTTAAGTATTCTTATTCAAACTTTCATTAATAGAAAATAATTATTTAACAGAAAAGGGAATTAATAGAATTTTCTAATTTGTCTGAGACTGGTTATTGAGCAGTTTAAAAAAAATTTCTCTCAAGTAGAATTTTTTTGTGGGAGAAAAAATATTTTTAAGAGAATGTTCTGTGTACAATTCTCATCATTTTTACATACTGTACTTACACTGAAATTGCTGTGATGTAGGATCCATAGGCGCATGAAATTGATGCTCACTGTTTGTTATTTACTCTTCCATAAGTAATGTACTTCAATGGAAGTAACCTTGAGCTACAATTGTTTTCAATATGATGTCTGAACTAAATTTGCTATCTTGTTCTTTATATATACTGAAGGTTTATGTCTTGCCCATGTCATCTGTTAAAATGCCTCAAATATGTATTTCCTACATCATGCATAATAAATTTTTAAATATAAGTATGATTTATTTTGAATCTTTTGTGAAAAAAGTTTGCTGTGCAAAACTGTCTGAATAATATCAGGAATATATTTATATAATGCCAACATGTGAAATGATTGTTTTAATTTTTCCTGCTGCTCATTAATCGGTCTTAAAATGTGCATCACTTTTTCGCATGTTTTTAAAAGTGCTTGAAATTCAAAATTTGCAGGCATTAAATGTTGAAATTGTATACAATTTATTGCACTAATTTGGGATATTTTCTCTAAAAACTGCTAAGGAGGAAAAAAAAAAAAAAAAAAAAAAAATCAGGACAGTACTGAGTTTCCATGTACAGTACTGAGATTACATTTGTGAAAAATCTGTTCTCGTTTGAGAAACATTGTAATTGAGTGTATAGGATCAATTGTTTGAGGAAATAATGCCAGTGATCCCATTTTTCACATTTTGACATTGAACTAACGGTACAAAAATTACAGTTGAGCTTGAATCAGAAAGGTAATTGTTTTCTTCAAAAGTAGGCAAATATGGGGTTTTATAGTATTTTGTTTATGAATTTAATAGTAAGTGTTACATAGAAGATGATAAAATAACATCAGCTAGAGTGAAATATGTCAATTCCTTCATGGATGCTTAAAAAAAATATGCCAGCTTCTTATTTGTAAAAAAATATGAGTGATTTTTAATTCTTTTATCATCTAATTGAAAGATATTCGGATATCACTCAAAAACCTGATACAATGCCACTAACAATGCTTAGAAACATTGTGGGAGCATTCTGTTAACTGTAGAAGATGTTTTGAATTTTTCATAGCATTTTGGGGGGGGGAAGAGAAACTTTTCCTGTGGAAAGTTTCTGGGACAATGTTTGTTAGTTTCCTGTTAATTTTTATTGAATGCTATATCATGCATTTACTAGAATTGATGAGAAATGAAGCATTCCATTATTTCCAAGTGTTTGTTATTTTTAAAGATACCAACTGTTATAGATTTTCTATAATTATTACTGATTTCTGCATCCATAATGGAGGGTAGTATGTTAAAGATGTGATGGAAATTGTTGTGGAAAATGCTAAGCTCATGCCTGTTTCATGTGACTAAATAAAGTTTGCAGTGGTTGCTGACTTACACAATTGATGCATCATATTCACTTCATGCACTCATATTGCACTGATGTCACATGCATACATCTGCTAGTGGAATGGAATGCTTATTATTATACCTGGTGACGAAATCTGTTCTGGGTGATAAATATTAAGATTTTAGAAACCAAGAAACTGAAGAAAAAATATCTGTGCCTTGCTGGGATTCATTCAAGACTTTCCGATTGCTAGGATGTATCTTCCAAATACACCTTGAAGTAAAGAGAGAGAAAAATCATACATTCTCTACATGTAAAGGCTGAGTGAGGAGGTCAGGGACCCAACTGCCAACCTGTTGTTGATAAATTATTTTCTACCATTTGTAGTGTCATTAGGATTTTAGAAGTGAAGAAAAATTAACAGTACTCATGCTGAGATTCAAATTTCAGGCCTTCTAGTTGCTAGCCAGATGTGCTTTCTGAAGACATGCAGTAAGGAGAGAGATCAAAATCTTACAAACACACCAGTATTCTGAAATGGAAGAGTATCTGAAGCAAAAAAAAATCTTTGTAGTTTTTTTATTTCCTTTTGCGAATAGTACTTTCTTTGTACAGTCATAAAATAATAGGAGCACATAAGAAGTAATTATTCATTTTCGTCATGTATAAAATAAAAATACAGCCAGTCATGCATTTGCAGTGCCCTTACCAGTTTTTACTTTCTTCTACACAGTAAAGGAAGTATTGGAATCGTGAAAATTTTTGGGTATCATATTTCAACGAAAATATTCATTTGACACTCGTGAATCCATTTGAACGATGTTTTTGCACGACATCTATATGGAACTTTCATTATTAAGTGTATTAGGCATTCGTAATTCTATTAAAATACTTTAATGGCATTGAAATTAGGTTTTATTCATGTAGCTTCTAAATCTGAATAAAAAACCATATACCACAAACAATACATAACTACCATTTGTAAATGTTCGTAGGCGAACATTGGAAGCTTCTGAGTAAATTCTGTAGTACGTATTCTTTTAAATTATAATTTCTTAAAATTCTGTATTTTATTTAATCTAGGGGGAAAATTAAATAACCTGTAAGAAACTTGGCAAACCTTACTGGATTAGAAAGAACTACCTCGTTTCGGATAATAGTGTAGAAATTCTACGATAAAGCTCGTAAGTTTTATGATATATTGCTGGTGGTGCCATCTGCTGGCACTTATTACTACTATTCATTTAAACTGTTGAAATCCGTTGCATATTGTTATTGAATTAATTTGCCACTTAAAAATGACAACTTGTTCCAGTTGTGTCCGAAGCTCAGAAACGACACTAAGCATATTACCGTCTGTTGCAGTCGCCTGTGGGTCTAAAATTTTGCCGACGTGTGTGCCCGCACCAGTTGCACCAACCCTGCAGACATTGGAGGCTAAGTTAAACAATTAATTTAAGTACTACGTTGTGATCCCTGACTCAGGTTAATAAATCCTAAAGTGCAAACAAACTGTTAAAAATGGAGAAGTCCACGTGACCTATCTCCTCATAATGAAGGTTGTGACGTGCTGTTGTAAATTTAATGTATATTGAGAGAAATGTTGAGAAAACTAACCTAATCTAAATGAAAAGAAGTTAAAAAAGTGGGGATGCTTCGTTCTAGTAACTCAGTAGTCCTGAACATTTGTTTCTCATCAGAGGAAGAAATGAAACTTAAGAAAACCTGTGATCAGGAGTGTAGCACTTTGAAACCTTATATGTATGCTTGAGCTAGCAGAAAGCTCAAGCATACATATAAGGTTTCAAAGCGCCTGCAAAGCCAAAGAAAGAAAAGATGGGTATTCTGTTACATAACAATTTAAAATGTAGTTAGGAAGATAGCTTTAAATTAAGATAGAAAAGTAAAAATTAAACCAAAAAAAAAAAAAAAAAAAGAGGGAAAGCAAGTCCAAACATGGAATACAAAGCAATATATTTGCTTCCACCTTCAGACACAACAGCAAAAGGAAGCACAATAACTGACGAAAGCATATATCCATATACAATGCAAGGCCATATCAGCAAAAAAGAGAAATCCATACACAGCTGCATTCAAAGTAAGCAGCATTTTGTTAGAAAACACTGAAGCTTCAGATAAAGGTACTAAATTAGTATAGTAAATCGCCAATATTACGAATTAATCAATAATCACCTTTAAACAAATTCACTTAATGAGCGGGAAAAACCAGCCGAAACACTTCCACTAAGACTTCAGCAATAGTAATGATGATAATAATACTTCCCAGCACTAAATTACGAATGCACAGGTTAAGCTTTAAGGAAGGTAGGGATTTTCATGAAGCAAACGGGCATACCTGCTGGAACCCCTGTTCATATGCATTCCTAATTTCAAGGAGCAAAAAAAGTATCCCTCTTTTGCAGCTAAAACTGAAGGTCATGGAACTGCGAACTCTCACAAGAATCTGCCCTTCTCTTAACTTGGGCCTCCTTCGAATATAAACAAAAGCCCAGGAATATAGCGTGAGTACAGACGTCATGGAAAAAAGAACTATATGCATACAAAAAGTTAAACTATTAAGATCATAAATGATGACCAATAAAAGCTAATACAAATGAAGAAAGAAGGGAAACATCCTGCCTAGACCACCATGATACTTCAGATTTGGTTCGTAGAAGAATATTTTAAATTCTTGGAAGGAACAAAGACATAAACAAAATATTTCCTTTGTCTACATCTATTGGAGAACAATAATGTTAAAAAATAATTAAAGATAAGTAAAAGTTCTGAACTTTCTAAACTTCCAAGTAGGAACATTAAAAAAAGGCAAATTTAGGAACAACTCTAAAACACGTCTGACAGACAGACCCTACAAGCTGCAGTAAGCAATGGCGTATTTTCAAGGTTATAAGTCTAGTTATTCTATGCACATACTAAAAAGACAGCAGAGTCAATTAAAATGGCGCAATAAAAGACCGCGGAATATAGCGTCACCACTTAGATTCGTATTTATGTGGCATTGAGTTCAGAAGGTATGTTTTATTGCTATTCTATTTGACATTTTTGACAGCAAGAATGACTCATGCTTGTTTTTAATGAATTTCTTTGTCAGATAATCGCAAAGCTGAACTAGTAGTTATTTAAAAATTTATATGCATATTCATAATTTGTACCTATAGATTATACAATTAAAAATAAATAACGAACTTTCTTCAAACTTCCGGAATTATTGACGCAGTTTTGGCGGTATCGTCGCCAATTTCATGGTCGACAGGAAAATACACAAGTACCCATTTATCTTATTACTTTTATTATTTTTTAAATTAGGGAACCTCTGTTTTTCCGCCTAGAGCTGAGCAGTTTTCTTAATATTAAATAAGGAGTTGTATTTCTTATACTTTGTTCATTTTTGGTTGTGTGATTCTCAGTACCTTAAGCACGTATGAATGCAGGCATATCAGTTATAACAATAATTTGTTTTGAAAAAAGAATCATAAAAATACTAATTAGGTGTTTCCCTTCCAGTCTTCATAATTGTCTGATATTGACTATGGAAATGAGTTTGCATTTAAGCAAACACAGCGAAAGCAGACTCGGTGCGGTTTGTTTAAATGCACCTGGTTCCGAAGATATTATATTGTTTGTATATATGTAATTTTTTGTAGCAATGTAAATTTTGTGTATATGTAAATCATTTTAGTGAAGTTATGTTTAACATTGGATTTTTTGTATAATGTAACATGAAACGTGAAAGAGGGAAAAGCTCTGCTGGAAAAATAAAATTACAAGGGCAAGAGGTAAGTGATTCTCTCTTTAAAATGGCGAGATATACTCAAGCTGAAGATAGTTTTAGCAACATTTTGGTCCGGTCCCTGTAAAACTATAATTGATCCCTATATGTTACCGTTACCGTAACCGTATCTGGACGTTAGAGGTAATTTT